TACCTTACATATCCAAAACGTGCTCAAGGCGTTCCAATATTATCCGGCTATGCGAGGCTACCGATTTTAGTACTCACAGTATGCCATTAGTCTTCAGTACGTATTTCAACTGTTCATATTTTCGTATGATTATGGGTGACCGAGAATGAACTATACGTAGACATGTCAGGCAAACCTCAACTATGATGAGGACCGTTGTGAGCCGATGAGCATTCATTATGTATTAGACACGCCATCTTATTCCATTAATTCCGTTAATCACATTAATTGCGTTAATTACGAAAGCAATTATTATATTGAAAAGGAACATTGGCCTAATTATGTCTATTCAACGTTTTATCCTGGATGTAAAATAGAGTCGCCATGCTTCTCACGATAATTTCACTCATCTAGTTTTCCGACTGTATTTATGAAAGTACTCCCTGTAGACTTCATAGTAGCAAATTATTTAATGAAGGGATATGAAATAATAGTAATAATAATAATATTGATAATGATAATAATAATATTTTGAATAATAACAATAATAATATATGGAGTAATAATAATAATAATGCTAAAAATGGTAATATTATAATGATAATAATAATAACAATAATAGTAATACTAGTAATAATAATAGTAATACACATAATGGTAATAGTGGGCTCTTGCGGTCCACAGATATCAGATATAGCAAAGTAATTCAAATAAAACATTTGATAAACATTCTGCGAATCAACGAAACTCCACTTGTATCGTTAAAAAAAAAATTCCAAAAAGAAAAGAAAAAAAGAATGATTGAGATGGAGATGGAGCAATATTAGTTCTCCATATCCGACCCATACATAATATGAAATTCCAAAGTGTATTAGCGCAAAAATAAAGTATGGATCCGTATATTACAATTATTAAAAAGCGCTATTGTAAGACTTGCAGAAAAAGAAGCGACCGCTCTAAATGTGAAAAAAAATGGACACATTTTTTATTTTTTATGCACGACTGCCTGAACAGAACAAACGAATCACACAATTATATAGCTCAGAAGTCAAGGGGAAATGGATTGACCGTCGTTTGGACAAAGAAAAGAGGAGAAATTGTAAATGATGGGGGATAATAATGGGATCGAGGCGAAGGAAGGAGCCATTTAGTTGTTGCTTAGCAACGTCTTTCCCATGACGCGACCTTTTATTTCTTTACAATAGGGAATTTATTGATTCTGGACCGAGCTGATAGATCGATGTAAAGACAGAGTATAGAATCAAGAGTGAATGAGAGATCTGTAAATATATTTTATGATTTTCTCTCCCTCACTGCACTCTCTCTTACTTTCCCTCGTATGCCTCTCTCTCTCTCTCTCTCTCCCTCTCCCTCTGTCCACATGTGTCTCCCTGTCTCTATCTTTTCATCCATCGACCAGGGATCCCCTATTAAAAAAAATGGTCCGCAACTTTAGTCCACCCCACCCCCATCGAAATTTATAATACTTGGCTCATAATGAATGATTATTATTCATGTGATCCGGGCGATTTTAGAAAGCCAATTAGGCCCCTTTATTACGTATAAGCTTACAATTTAAAACTTTAGTCAGAGGATTGAAATCGGATCGATATATATATATATATATATATATATATATATATATATATATATATATATATTTTTTTTTTTTTAAATATTTTTTTTTATAGCGTTTTAAAGTAATTATTTTGCATCGAGCCGTGAAGAATTATTTCCCGTTAGACTTTTTGATAAAAATGCTGCCCACGTAGTTTTATTTTTCGATTCCGAATGATCTATTTGGTAAAAAAAACCTATATCCTATATAAATTACGTTTCCATCGATGATTACAATTAAAAAAAAAGTATATATCATAATGCCCGTCCAATTTTAATGACTTTTCAGAGTTCAAGGTCATTTCATGTATGATAAGAAATTGCCCATTCTGTCAAAAAACCGAGGATTCAGTTTTTGGTCAGCGTCTTATCCACACTACATTGATTTTGCAAAACGAATCATATTAAAGCCATCTCTGGTTCAGATTATTTTTTTGTAAAGCGATGTTTATTTTGATATGTTGCATTAATAAGCAGGGTCAGTTTAAGCTAGACTAAAACCATTCATATTATGTGAAGCTTACGACAATGAACTTGAATTTATTATGGGTTTTCGGAATAAATACAAAAATTACGACGGTAGGGAAATTACTGTCCTTTGGCAAGACATTAATCTATATTTGCCACTCCATACCCAGGAGAGAAATGGGGACCTGGTAGGATGACGTAAGCATTTGTGTTAGTAATTTTCATATGGTAGGAATACTCCGCAGGAAGTGGAGATGGTGCACATTGTGCGTGCATGAATCCGATGACCTGGGTAATAATACTTGTAAAGCGCTTACAGACGGTTTTTCGTGCGCTATATAAATCTAGATTATCATTGAGTGTTCTATTTGGGGGGGGGGGGGGGGGGGGGTTCGTTTATTTTTCTGGACAAATTTCTATTTAACAAGTTTGAAGCCTCTTGGAAGATTATGAAATTAAAGCAACAATATAATTTCTATGCTAAATTCTTTTTGACAACCCGAGGGAAGAAATTACTCTATGCTAGCATGAAAAACATATCTATAAGCAAATTGCTTGTTTGTACAACATAATATTCATATTTTTGTCACCACAAAATGGCCAGAATGGTAGAGTTGTTCCTCGAACTGTTTCAGTTCCCAATCCCTCTTACTTTAAAGACATGTTCTAATTTGTTTCCAGATCATATACATACACGAAATTTCCTGCGAAATCTTTTCCAGCTTCATCGCATACGCATGTCGCATTCCAATGTAAGCAGATCACTGCTGCATTAATAACGTAGATGGCGCTTATCAAGTATCAAGATATGGTTGAAACCATACCAGCTGGGCTTACTTTTTATTCTCAATATTTTCATGTACTTGATTGGATAAAGTACACGGATAAATTGTCTATTCTCTGGTCTAATTCTTCATAGAACTTCGATCATTTCTCCTGATACATATCTAGATCAAATGAGCTATTCAATTCTAAAATTGAATAATTCATACAATGCGAGGCAATTACAATGATTCATCCATCCATCCAATTTTATTGAGGCACGTATGACCTAGAGTACATGACCTATACAAAGAGAAAAACCAATGATGAATTGATGATAATACAAAAAAATGATATATATATGCGATAATTGATCACACTGGTTTTTGTGGTGCCTAACTGTAACACAATCATCTCGCCCCCGATGACTGATTAACAATTTCCTGGTATTAAAAAAAAAGAAAAATGTTCTTCAAGGATAATTTAAACAAGTCAACTACAGACATACTAGATAAAAATGCACTATGCAAAAAAAAAAAAAAAGGAAGAAGAATTTAAAACATGAATACGTTGAAAATTAAAAGATTGGAATGAAGACCAAACTAATAAATATGTTTACAATGAATTGGCTTGCATTTGCATGGTCCATTTGGGCAGCACGGGGCTGGTTTGGAATTTTAATAAAATCTTTTCATTGCAGCTAGAAACATATTTGCTCCTAGCCACAAGTTAGAAACATATTAGTAATAGCCCAGTATATTTGTGTGTTTTTGTTATAATTATTACTATTGTATTATGGCATTCAAAAGCCTGGACAATGCTTCATATTTATCATCAAATGTAGGCAAACATACAATATAAAGTAACAACATGCTTGAATTAATTGCAAATGAAGAAAGAAAAGGTTAAGAATATACATCAATGAGAATACAGTAAAAAAGAATCCTTAATATATATATATAAAAGATGATATGTGAATAATAGTTATGTATACTAAATCAATTTTATGAATTAATGAAATAACCATAAACTATTAACAACAAAAAACAATTGTGAAGTAGATAATTATAAACATATTGCTTTTATTTCGTCATAATTGAACCATTGATTAACGCAAAGTTAAACAGACACAATCATTAACAGATTATATAATTTCCTTTGCAAAAACATTAGACAACTTCATTGTTTAAAATGATTGTTAAGTGCAGTTAACCCTTTCAATCCTAATGAGAAGTATCCATTAATAGAAAAAGCAATGAGTACTCTAAATGCAAACAGCTCTTCTAAAGATGGATGTTGGCAGAGGAACAGGAAAATATTATACATGTATAACGAATGCATGAAGAGCTTAATTCCAAAAGGAGCTAAATCCACTTTTGATGAAAATTGAGTTATTGATATCAGAACATTGTTCACTTAAGTACCCGTCTTTCAACAAAATTATTTTCCTAAATTTTGTGAGCAATTATGAAAAAATGCACCTTGTAATATCACTTTTCCATAAACGCCTGTCCAAAATCTGGTAAACAATTTTGTTTTCCTCCAAAGTTACACAAATGGATTTAGCTCCTTTTTGACACTACACCCCCATCCTAGACAATAGAGAATAGATAATTAACATATGATATTCATGACCAACGTATGTATACTTTTATTGATCTAAATATACAGATTATCTTGCTTGTTCCTTACCCATCTTTTTTCATGCTTGTATTTGCCTTCATACATTATGATTTCACCCTCTCATTCTTAAATCTCTATTCAAATATTTAGCCTACATGAATAGTACTGATTGTTAAATATCACTGGCAATCATAGCCAATCTTTCTCATATAGATTTCTTCATCTTGGCTACACTACTCTATATCTCTGCAATCTATATGTATAATTGACAAATAACATGAAGTGTTGTTACATAAATTGAATGATCATCTATAAACACATTGTTCAAAGCCAGAAAAGTGTCAACTCTGTGTTATACAATGAGTAAGAGCCCTTCTAGCTCCGAACAGATGATAGTAATGTTTGTGATGACAAATATTTCTTAGCTGTACATTCTTCCTTTAAAAGGAACACATATATATTACCCATGAACCGATAAACAAAACGTACAATAAACTACAATATATGGCTTTTTTTAAGAACATGGTGTACACAGAACAGTGAGGAGCAAAAAGTAGAAACAGGCGGATGAACAAACACATGTTACACAACAGAAAAGGGGCGGAGAAAGTTGGTTTAAAGAGAAAAAGGTTATTAAATCATTCTTATCTCTCTTTCTGTCTCTTTACCATGTTTCTGTCTTTTACTGTAAACATGCACAGTGTCTATATTACTCGGCTAAGTAACTCAAACAAACAAGAGTAAATATTAGAGGATGTATGCTAACCCAGTACAAGGGACAACTTGGTCTCAGCAGAAAATTGTGGACGAGTCAGGCAAGAGAGCTGATCAAATTGATCACAAAGTCTTGTGTACTTTTTTCATCAATTACACTTTTAAAACAATAATTTTCAAAATCAAAGGAGCTTTGTGTAAAATGGTTCCTAAAGATGTAATGTTAGAAATTTGAAAGGATGGAATTCTACGAAAGATGAAAATTAAGGCTATTTAAAGGTTTGATGTGCAGTTTGAAAGCTAATGACCACATGGTGACCTATCTGACGTAGTGCAGGGCTCAACACTAACAGGCCCCCAAGACGCACAGGTGCCCAAATTGTAAGTCTGGACCCAGAATTTTTTGAAATTTCTACATAGAGCTTGTGCATCGGACTTCAAATAGTTGAATCCGGACCCCCTTCAAAAAAGGTTTGTGCGGAGCCCTGCCTAGTGCCTAGCTAGTCCAACCCTTCTTCAAACTGCAACAACATCAGAAACCACTGTGAACAATGGACCCTATTTTCCATACCCCATCGTTGACACCATTCACCCGCATTTCACTTGTCCTCATCTACAACTCGTCATGAACCTCATAATCCCCAGACCACCAATCTCTCAAATTGGCAACAGCCGACCAGTCGACTACCCTCCACCAGTCCTCGATGTGATTGGCTCGTTTGTTCTGGTGCTTCAGGTAGTAGGCGTGTTCCCAGACATCCAGCACCAGGATTGGCTGAAGGCCGTTTGAGATGGGCGTGTCTTGGTTGGCAGTCGTCGAGATGATAAGACTTGCAGGCTCTTCCTCCACTTCTTCAAATGGTGATGAGGGTTTGCGACGGCTAAGCCACACATATCCTACGGAAAGCAAACAGTAATTTGTGCTAAGGCTTGACTTAAAAAATAAATAAATTTGATTTAAAACACTGAAAGAAGCCTAATAAAACTTTTATTGTTTCTTTAGCCAAGAAGTAAGAAGTGTGTATTTGTATCTAAAGCTGCTACAGAAATAACTTGTGCTACGTCTGCACATAACTGATAAATCTATACTTACAATTATTCATGCATATTTTGTTTTGAGTTTTCACATTCATATGGTGATGCTCATGCTTAATATCATTGAAACTGCCTTTCGATTGATTCCTTTACTGTAATTATTATTAATTGTTTGGTATGACCTACTCCTGAGAATGGAAAGTGAAATTAAACACTGTAACCCTCTGGCCTCTCTTCCTGAAATACAATGGAAAACTTTGTGCCCATATGCAAACCATCAAAAGTGATTTCATGTACTATGGTATCTGTGGTCTCACATTCCACAAAATTTGGGTGAGAAGTTATTCACCCCAAGACTCTCTACAAGTTTAAATAATATGATGCGAGTTGTGCAGAGCATAGAAAACAAAATGATAAGAAGTTACATGGTGTCTGTTAACCTGTTGACTCCGGTATACAAAGGGTTAAGTTGATTCTTTCGATGGGTCTCTAAAAATTACCAGATCCAAACAGGGTTAGGGCTTTGCCAGTGAACTGATTCTTGAAGTCTTCAAAGCTTCCAAAGGATGCATTGATCTCATCTAGGAGCTCTCCAGAAGGCATGGTGGTGACGTTTTCCTTGTTCGAAGCCATTGTTGACCAGTAGATGTTATGATTGACAAACCTGCAGATTGGTCAGAAAGAAAATATGTTACCTTTATAATTATTTGAATCATTTACATTTCAAACAAAAAATATTTGCAAGGACTCTGATGTTACAAAAGGCCTATAGGTGAATATTCAATTGGAAGCTTTCATTCACTAGTTGAGAGGAAAAAAAGACATAATACCTACATGGAATTACAAAAAACAAAAAAAATGGAAATAATAATTATTTCATTATTAGTTATTTGGTCATAAAAATCAGAAATTCACAGTTTATACAAAGTCAACATAATAAATACAATTATAATAGAGAAAGAGAAGGAAATGAGAAGCAAGGAGAAGAGGAAAGAAATAGTTACCTATGGGCCAGGGTTCGCAAAAGTGAAATGCTTCACTGCTGCCCAGAGGCAGGCGAGCCCTCATAGGTAACCATGTAGAAAGATAGAAAGATATTGCACAATTCCATATACAAATACAAATATTACACACTTTAAATGTAGATCTAGTGACTATACCTACCCTCCACCATTATTCCTGATGCTTTGTTTATATTTGGGTGGTATGTCATCAAGGTGCTGCAGCAGGTTGAGGATAGATGTTGCTGCATAGCTGTCTGGCTCCTGAAACACACCAATCATGTTGTTTGATACATTTCAATTTTGATAACAAATACTGACCTAGTATAGTCTTGATTTACCTTACTACTAAACAGATTAATGCAGTAGAGTCTAGTAGATCTAAATCTACCAAGTGGAAAGGAAACAATATTTCAATGACTTCAAGCTGTATAATCACAATTATATTGTTAATAAAAAAGAGAATCAAACACTTCAGACTTTAATTAATTTAATGATCACAAAGAATTTAGGATTCACACAAGACACAAACAGACCTAACAATTCAAATGGCTGCAGACTGTCAAGAATTAATTTCTTTAGTTCAATATATTAGACTATAATTTACGACAACTTATTAGTAAAAGAATATACACACAAAATTGCAATGTATAGCCTAGACCTAGACTATAGTATAAAGGGAGAGAGGGAGTAGAAAGGGAGAGAGGGAGTAGGGAGAGAGGGAGTAGAGAGAGAGAAAGTGAGGATGAGTTCATGAGAGATAGATACTGATAAACTTGGTAAAAAAACGTCCACGAAAAAGGCTGAACAGGAAGGAGAGAGAGAGACCCTTTTTCGGGGGGGGGGGGGGGAGATATGCACAATCATTCTTCGTTCAAAAAATAAATAATGAAATAAATATGAATGGCTTTTTTTATACCTCACTCCCCCACTGGTGCAATGCTGCATTGAGTTTACGTGTATAGCCTGCATGATGACCGCGATGATGTACGTTCAAAGTTGCACTGTCAATGTAAGGTTCTAAATCGTCATAACCAAAAGGTAAATCTGGTAGAATATACTCTGATCTTATTTCTGCAATACACTCAAATGGATAAGAAATACCATAACTTGTTGTGCACATCCATAAAATGATGAAAAACGCGAACATTTTGCTGTCAACGTAGCAAGCAGACGCCATTATGTTATTTGAAGTGCAAAGACATACACAGTAACTGCACTGCTATTCTAGTCTAAGCCTACACAACAATATCTTTCAAACTCAAAATCCCTGAGTCATCGTTCCTATTTTGCTTACTTATGTTTTTTGAAAACACCTAAAACTGCAGTTGTATACTTTGTTTTTACTATGACTGAACATTTCTCGATATTTTTGTAATGTTTGTGCCAAGTGCAAGTGGCAATGATTATGGCCGGCTGGTGAAAAGACTACTTCGATATCGATGTCGCGTCGTTCATCAGCGCAGCTAGCTAGCTAGAGCTAGAGATGAATGTGTAAAAAACTCGACCCGAGGTAAGTCACACGCCCCTCTTGATATCAAAATATGCTTTAATGGTATGATGTTGTGGTGAAAATGTCAGTTTACGTAGTTATTGATATTTACAGAAGTGATGTAATGAATTCAAGAAGTAAATCTGTGAGAACATAGCACGCGAATATTTCGCAATCTCGACTGATAATGATATGAGAGCGAGCAGCAATCCGTACGGTGAGGTAAAGTCCGACGCGACGGAACCGCTGGCCACATAGCTTCATCCACGTTCACTCTGACGTGCTGGCAAGGCGGTTGTGTAGTGACTGTGCTTTTAGTTCTTTTAGATGCTGATGGCGATACCAGTTTAGGTCGGATGGATGGTCAGATCTTATATAAATAAATTTACACTATCTGGAGCCTGCCAGAGTCTTAATGGAACAACCATCGATAAGGCAGTAGTCTAGTACGAGAATACGCCCGACATTGGCCTGTAGGCTGTACTTTATTACGAAGACGAAGAGGAAGAAGAAGAAGATTAAAATTGAAGCAGTTTTGTTTTGGTCTGGGCCTACATTTCGTCTAGACCGAAAGCTTCAGTCTCTGATATCGACGGTTGTTCCGCTGAGATTACATCTGGCTCCTTTGGCCACCTCTATGGGGAAGATTGACAAATGTCAGTTTTATTAAAGAATGACCCATACCAGACGGTTATTTCTGTCTACATTTCGTCTAGCCTTACATTAGGGGCTTGGTGATTTACAAAATATAAATTATATGCTCGTACCAGGTAAGTTTTATTTGGCATGCACTCACCTGACCAGCGCACAATGAACTTTGCAAACTACCTTTGGCGTTCGCTGAAAGATTCTTCTTTCTAATCGTTGGAAAAACTTTGAAATCAGTTACAAACTAAGGCATATTTTGCACAAACAACAGACTTTTTTAACCTAGCAAATGAATCTCATCATGTTTACATGACAAAAAAATTGACCTCTGAAGAGATTTCACAATCTTTAATTGGGGGAAATGCATGTACCACGCCCGTGCATTAAAAACCTGATTTCATGTTTTTTTTAAAGGCCGTATGTAAGCGTTGAGCTCTAACCTGTCGGTGCAAACATTTTTTAAATCCACAATCTTTTTCATATCTCATTTTTGTATTTGTCCCAATTGCAGAGTTGACCGAAGAGGTTAAAATCCAGGTCGCATCAGATCTGCCACCGCTCGACCAATCATGAGCCACACAAGGGTAAGTGATAAATTATGTCCTGTGACTTGCATCATTATTTTCTTAATTTATCATAATTTTGTTATACAAAGTGAGTTTTAGATTACATCCTTGATCGTCGCTTGTAGTTTCACAGTTTATAAAGTAGATCTTTTATGTAGTAGACTTACAGTAGTCTATGTACAAACATGTTGATCCTATATAAGTAAATGCAGAGGGGGTAAAAAAAGGACCATTCACAGTCACAGATCAAAGCTCTTCATTTCTTTCATGCTATCTATCGTCACAGTGACATTACAGATTAAGCCAATTTACAGTGACCATACGTATATGTATGTAGTGATTTCAACTTAGATAACTTTCACATTTTTTGTCAGATTTGATACAAACTTTACCAGTCCGCTTCTGATTTTTCTGCTTTCCTTAAAATGACATTGTTTCTGATACATTTGGCTATGAAAAATTCTACATGAACCTGTTTACAGACCAGGTAATAGGTCAAATTCTATAATAGTATCTTTTGGATGACAAAGTTTATATGAATATATGAAGAAGGTTAGATTACTTTCTTTTCTTCTTTGTTTTGTTTGTAGGAGATGAAAGCAGTCCGCTGTCCAACGGACCAGCTTTCCCTGACCAACAGAGCAGTGGTATCTGACAAAGATGCTTTCGCACGGATTGAGTAAGTATTTTCATATTAATTAAAGATAAAGACCAGTTATGATCATGCGATTGCATTGTGAAGGAAAAGTTGTGAAATCGATCAGAAAAGGTTGATCATCTGGCATATAAGTATTGGTGTGTACTGCAAGGTTCTGAATTTATCAAAATGATAACAAATTTGGCCCAGTCTTGGTAAAGTTACAAGCACTGTACACAGAAAGATGTATATGGGACTATTTGACACGTGCGTGACACGTGCGTTATATCTATCAGGTCCAAATAGATATAATAATTGATCAAATATATTAATTAGTAGGCAGTTTCTCTGCAAAATTTGTATGATTACATATTAGTCAAAAAATATTTTTTCACATGATTGGTAATAAGAGCTTCCATTTTCATTTTTTGAGAGGGGGGGGGGGGATTTCTAAAACTGATTTTTACCTTCAAGTAAAATCTAACTGTATTCTTGAATGCTAAAAATATGACAAAGTCTCCCCCTTCCCCCACCCCCAATAAAATTAAAGGGAAATGAAAAAGATAAAGAAATTGTATTGTTAGAAGGCATAAAGGCATTCCCTAATACTATTTATGATGTGATGCAATTAAACAGTTGACAATGAAAAAGCAGAAAGGCGCAATTTAACAAAACCTAGATCTTCAAAACCCATACAAAGGGCTCACACCCTACTTCATTGAAAAATAGATAGTTTATGATAAAAAGAAACATGCATAATATCTTTCCATCTGTGTAGTTCTAGAATAATTTGAACATTATATATTATAATTCATTTATAATTGTTCTTGATTACCTTTATGCTAACAGTGGAAGTAGACATGCAGGATCAACATCCTTTTCTACTTCCCTTTCAAGCCTAATTTGTGATAAATACATTTTTCTTGTTCTAACGTAATAATCCTACCATTTTATAATGAGGAAATATTTTGTCTATGTTTTACACCGTTTGTAATTGAATAAGATTCATGCACTTTTTATTGTTAAATCGTTTGTAACTCAGCTCTTGAGCTGCGATGATAATTATTGAATAAATACCATTATTATTATTTTTATTCTGATGGAATTAGTATCACGGATATCTCCAATTCCGTTTAACCGCCAGTCAAAACCGGGCGGTTTTCGGTTAAACAAATAATAGTAACAATGTCGTTTTAGAATAATGTGTAAGATCATTAATGTAAATTAAAAACAGTAGAGGACCTACGATAGAACCTTGTGGTACACCATGTGTTAAACTTGTGGATGAATATATATTGAGATCTATTACAAAGATTACTTTCAAACCAAGATGACAGACAAATTGGAGTGTTGTTCTAGTTTCCAAGTGGTAAGTCATCACACCGATTACTGAGCTGGGAGACATTGCCAGGCATAGTGCCAGGTGGAGGGGCATAAATCGAAAAAAAAAAATTATAAAAAATAAATAAATAAAAACGGGAAAACGAAACGGAATCCGCCATGGGCGGTCGGATATCGGACGGTTAAACGTTTACTACAGCACTAGATGGAATACACATTTACAAATGTTCCATAGACTTCTACCTGATAAATGTTGGCACTGCCGTCAATGGGTTAAGAATGCACTTTTTATGTATTGTGGGTTACTCTGTAATTGCCCTTTAACATTTGTTTTGTTTATCCCCCAGTTATGTTCAGGTCCAAGCAGTTCCGGGGCCAAGCTATGTCTTTGCTACAGTAGCACATCCAGATTTAAAGAGTGGAGAAATGGGTTTCAGTCTTCCCCAGGTAAGATAACGTTTTTTTAATATTTTCATATGATAAAGAGCATCTACGTGTATCTTCCTCTACTTCTTTTTTTTTGGGGGGGGGGGGGCAAGGAATGTCTGAAGGAAGGTTTTGGGATGTTCCTATCTTTTTCTTCCTGAATCCCTATACAAAATGTATAGAAAAATGAAAGTCACGCCCTTGCTGTCTGACACTGTTAATTTTATTTTTTTTAAGTTATGAGGGCTGCAAGCATTTCAAGATTCATGATTATGCTGCATACCTTCTAGTTGTTTCTACATGTATCCATTTTATGTTTGTTATGCATTTAGCATATTATTTGATTTATTGCATTCCCCATTTGTATACTGTATTGGGAAATTATATCAATTCTACATTCATGTGCATGAAAATATATGTTTGATGTGATGGTATAGAAGCCATTCAATTAAACACTGTTGCATATACATTAAAAAAATGTTAATACATAATACATGGAGGTGTCTGGGGCTACTAAAATTGTATTGCACTATGCGCATTAACTTCAAGTATATTTTCTAGTACTTCAATAAAATAGGTCTGATTTTCTATTTTTGACTGCTTTCATTGTCACAGGAATGTGTTGACATGCATGTAAACATATATGTTTGATTTTCATCTTACATATTATGTACAGGTTATTGAATGCTCAAGTAATATATAGAATTATATTTGAAGATATTTACATTTACTGAGGTACTGATTGTAACATTCATGTCCTTTTTTAATTAAGATTAATTCCCAGTTATTCTTACAAATTTTCTAAAAAATGGGAGGGGAGGGGGAACTTGGAAGTTTACATTTTGTTTTCTGAACCTATGAAAGCTGTTGGGTCATTTTCAAAGCAAGTTTCCTTCATAAAATTAAGATATTGTCCAAACACTCCCAAGATTGAAAATCTAATTTCACTGAATATTATCAATTTTTTAAAACCCCATCATCTAGATGTCCTTTCCTTATATCATGTCCAGACAAAATAAATATCAAATAAAAAACACAAAACCCCAAATAATTAAAAGAATAAAGAAAGAAAGAGAGAGATTGTCAAAAATAAGAACACGGGGACCCATCTTACCTACCCTTCTAGTGTCTTGTCAGTTCTCAGTTGTGAATTGATGTATTAAGATTGAACTTGTGTAAATCTTAGAACATGTATTTACATGTAGATTGGTATCACAGGGTTACACAATGACATACAGCACAAATGTCAATATTGCAGGATCATGTGATACTGATTCAGGAAGTGAAGCAAATGTATTACACATTAAAACAATATTGCAGTTATTGAATATATTGTTTTGAGTGGTGTTGCCATAATAATAAAACTATGAATGTATATAAGTTTTCATTCATATTAAAAGAGTATATTTGATTTGTACATGTTACAACAAAGGCTTTGTTGTTGGTAGAATTGGTATTGCCATTCTCTAATATTATATGCTAGAAAGAGCAATAATTCCCTTGATAAGTGTGGTTTAGTATTGTTACACATGATGTACACATCATGACATGTAGCATGCTCAGCACTTCAATCACATATTGCTTCTGCGAGTACAAATATTTACAAGGCATCTGTACTCTTTCCAGGTGGATACAATTTTTTTTTTTTTTTTTTTTTTTACCGGTATGCATTTTCAACTTTACCTCAGCTTGAGATATCTTTGGTTTACACTTGTACATGTAGTATTCAACGGCTTAAAGTTATTGTGATTTTTTTTCTCTCTCTCAATATTTTTTAAGACTAAGAGATAGTTTTCAGAGGTAGAGTTATGAAGGCAGTAATAAAATTTCAAGATCCATGATTTGCCATTTTAGTCAAATCATAATCCCTGTTGATGCATTCAAAAGCTTCACACTGTTTATATAAAAAAACCATTTTGAGATGCTGCCTTGTAGGTCAAACAGCATGAAAACTGTTGGTATAAATTTTCCAGCAGTTAGTGTCCATGCGATTTGTTTGGGCTAATGTCCATTAGGGTTGATGAGATATTAATTTATGCTAATTTGAAGTGGCTCCGAGAGGATTGCTCTAAACAATATACAATGCAGGGGCATAGTGTTATTACCAATCAATGGCAGGTGAATGGGTACACATTCATGGCATTATCATGAGTATCAGTTTATTTTCAAATGGAGGGGGGGGGGGGGGGCGGGGCGGGGGGAGGACTTGTGTAATCCTATCAAATTTTAAGACTTAAATATAGAAATATTGTGGGGCGGGGGGAGGACTTGTGTAATCCTATCAAATTTTAAGACTTAAATATAGAAATATTCAATTATTGACTTCTTCCCTTGAAACACAAAAGTGGTCTTTGTAGACAGGTTCCTTTAGTACATGCTTCAATGAGATACCATTTCAAGGGAAACAAAAAATGTGCTTGTTGTAGACAGGTGGTCACTAAAGCAGGTTTGACTGTATATAATGCACATCAATATGCATTTTTTACACAATGCCAGGCCTTCTACTCATACATAATAACTGACAAGTTTACTACAGTATGTCTCCAGAATCCAACCTGTTCTGTGATGCACTTGTACAGTTCAGTACAGTTCCTTACCGAAAAATCAATTTTCAATTTACATTAGTATGATAACGTATCCATGCTCCGTGATGTTGCTAGCTCTCTCTCGCCTAGCCCTATGCCTGCAGTGACTTTTAGGATGAAATGAAATTGATAGTGGAGGACTGCCTGACTCGGCGACCCTTGGTTGTTATAGCGATAGTTTGCTATTGTGATGTACAGGGAATTGAGGAACGTGATATTGTTGTTTCAATTCATATCAGCAAACATTGTGTTGCATACATGTAGTCATCCATTGTGGAGTTATTTGGGAATAAGAAAAGGAATTAAATGAGTTTTTGGTTGGGAGACCTGGATATGGACATTTCAAGGGATAGCTCGTTATTCAGGTGTACTGAAGAGGTTTTGTTTATGTCAGTATCAGATTATTGGGGATACCTGGGCACCTGACAATAGACCCGTCTACTAACATATTCAAATATTTAGCATAATTTTAAAATAAAGGCTGTTCTTGACAACCCCAAAACTTACCCAAAGCTTGCCCGACATAGCAACAAGTAATATATGCAGACTGGATGCCAAGTATTGTCACCAAGTCGCCACTAGGTCCCCAGGTCTATTAGGAAGTATCTGCACTGGCAATCAGAAAACATGTACAGTGTACATGTACATGTAGGTGTAATTTTAGCAGCATTTTAGGATAGTGAGGTAAATTTAATAATAGAAGTAGAGATGTATTCTTTTTTAGTATTAAACTGAGATGACATTGATAAGAGATCTGACTCTTAAGAGCCCACTGTTATTATCATTATCATAATGTACATGTACATGTACGTAATGTACATACCCTTATAATACATATTTAGATATGACATGAAATTCTCTCATGTATACCGTACAGTACATGTACATGTACATATACTCTAATTAATTGCTTAGATCATCCAAGAGATTTACGTACAGTGTAAAGAGAGATTCTCTCTATATATATAAAAGCCATTGATTAGACATCCTGTATTGTACACTGGTGATTGTGCATAATTACATTACCTGGTCGATAATGAAGTTCATATGCCTGAATGGAAGACTACAATATAAGCCGAAAGATGAAATTATAATTGGGATGGATTTTTTTTGGTTGTGCGTACGTGTACACACATAGAAAGCAGAGCATCATTAGGACCCAGTAGGGAAAGTGCATGATAGATAGACTACATGTGGAGTATGAGCTCATTATTACTGCATGGCCATGGAATATGTCCTCAGGCTGTGTCGCCTTTCCTGACAAACATCCTCTCTTTTATTTTTACCAATCCTTCTTTTTGTGTGAATTATATTGTATTAGATGTACACGTACATTTAGGCCCATATAAAGAATGTAAACAATAATTTCATACAGCTGGTATAATTTTGTGTACATTTGATTTGTGTGTTGAAATTCTACATTAAGATGTAACAATCCTCTTGACATGTAAACATCTTGACCTTATATGTTTTTTTTTCCAGAACTTGTTGAAGGCATATTATGCACAACATATTTTCTTTTATTTCTGAATTTAATTAATTTTTAAGAGCATAATATGGGTGTAACAGTATTACAATGATTTATCTGTGTACCTAAATATGTTACATGCATGGAAATAAAAAGAACATCAGCCAATGCATTTGGGATTGTCTCAAAGTGTTTACAATACAAAGTACATTTATTGAATAAATTGAATTGACTAATTTTAACATACTGTACATATAAAACCAGTGTAGTTGACACAAGACAAACTGAAGTGTATTTCGTAAATCGTGTCATTCACTGGTCTATTTTGACATACTACATGTACATGTACATGTCATTACAATCAGTGTTTGTTTGTATTGCTTGAGAAGTAATGAAAATATGTATTTTAGTACAGAGGTTATGATGATTTGCTTTCTTTTCATTTCTTGTGCAGAGAAAATGGGCCAGAATATCAATAGACCAACCTATCCAAGGTGAGTGTTTAACTGAAAACATACAATAATGTGTGACATTGAAGGGTTATCCATGTCATGGTTTGCTATTTTTCTTTAAAAGATAGAAGATAATTCTAGCATTATACCGTACTTGTATTTTACTGAAAAATATATTTCTGAAGAAAGCCTTTATCATTAACACATATTTTTAAAACCACTTTTGTCTTATATTGTCATAATTCAGAACTGAAAAAAAAAAAATAAATACATATTTTGGGCATGGTTTTGTAAAATGTTAGCAATTTTATTTATTAATTTGAATGTATCTCTTGTGTGTAAGGTCTGTCTAAATTGTGTGAGGATAATAAGTGGCATTTTGCCATCGGAATACATGGGAGGATTCTCCATGCATATCTCCATATTTTCTTAGATGTGGTGTTTAATAACAGTGAGGTCTGCATATGTGTGATGGACATACAGATACAGATGTTCATATGAGTTAGTAAGAAAGTTACTGCATGAAGGTACATCTACATGTATGTGGAAAGAGGTTAAGAGAGATGGAGAGAGTAGAGGGAATAAGAGGAAAGGAGGCGGAGATGGGATTAGATAGCTGAAGAGGGAGAAAACAAAAGGAATGAGAGAGAGAGACAAAGAGAGGGAGAGAGAGAGAGAGAGAGAGGGGAGAGAGAGGAGAAGGCACAATAAAAAGATAAGACAGGGGCTAGTAGTACAGCATTAGGGAATGGAACAAAATAGGAAGACATTGGAGAGAGGAAGAGGACGAGAGATATATTAGAGAGAGAGAGAGAGACAGAAATAGAGACATTGAGAGAGAGAGAGAGAGAGAGAGAGAGAGAGAGAGTAAAAGCAATTCCCAAACTGAGCAGGCCTCTGCTAAAGTACATAAGATGAGAACTTGCTGCCGTCTAATGTTACCCACTCGAGTGAGTATGTAACGCTATCAGGTGGTATGTGTCCCTGGCGCAGTGCAGTTCCCAGGAAATGAAAACCATGCAGTTAATCCCCAAATTGCAGTAAGATCCATCATTATGTCAAAAAGCTGAAATTGAATACTTCCTAAATCTCATGTGGATATGAACATGTTATGCATAAAATGCTGGAATATGTCTGGTATGGAAATATTCACAAAAAATGGATTTATTGTGTCCAAGACGTGAGCTGTGTCCCAAATTCCAGGTTTTGACAATTTTCTTTAAAATGTATCAGACGACATGTACTTGTGAGACAAAGTTAGTTTCAAGGCCCCTTTGTTGATTATGATTACTAGTAAAAGGCATTTGTAACTTTAAGCGCACATTACAAATTACATTATGTGTATTGTGTACTGGGTGCTGGATACATGTAGCTTGTTAATAGTAGGTATCACAGCTAAAGTTTGAAAGTATCTACATTTCATTTCCCCTGCCAATTTCATTTTAGAGCACATGGAAAGAGGAGTTTTGATACCTCATTTGTCAAATTTGAATAAGTACTTTTGAAAATACGGCCACTTACATAAGAGATGAAATGGTCAAATTTTGCGTAATTAGGCTATAACTGACAATTAGCCATTTCAAGGTGACATAATTTTGTAATTAATTGATGAATCACCTTTATTTTCAAGAAATCTGTTCTCTGTATGGATTTCTACATGCCTATTTTTTTCCAGGTTCTTTAGACAAATATTTTTTTTGGTGGAATTTTTCAAATAATTAAATGAAGCCCATTTTGATGCGTGTGACAAATGGCTATTTTTGCGTCGCCGGAACAAGTTTTCATGGGCTTTGAAACATGGCTAGATTTAAGAGTGTCTATGAAGTGGGGCTGAATTTCGGCATATCTGGGGTATGTATATAGCTTAATCATTTCTGTAAGTTTGGACCATCAAATCCATTTAAATTAATTTTAAATGGCATTTGAAAAAGGCTTTAAACTCTTAAAACTTCATATTTTAAAGCACCCTTAAGCTTTTTTTTGTGTTTTCAAGTCTGCCTAAATTGAAAACCGTTAATGGTAGGGGAATGAATTTTGGCACATCAATAGAAAGTATGGCAGTGGCGGATCCCCCCCCCCCCCGGCCAAAAAAATATGTTAAAATCAGCCCTAAATTCCCCCAAAATGTACTGAAAAACAGGGACGTGCCCCCCCCCCCCCCCCCAACGGAGAAAATTAAAAAATTAAAAAATTTCTTGACCCCCCCCCCCCCAAAAAAAAAGTGCCCTCTTATCCCCCCCCCCCCCCCCCCCCCCCCCGCTTATTCAGCGGTTGGCTGAGTCGTTACAATTTTTTTAGACCAAAAAACAAACAAAAAATGTCCTCTCACCCCCCCCTCCCCCCCACCACCACCCTCCCTCCCCTCCACCACCACCCTCCCTCCCCTCTAGGCCTACCTAACTTATTTACTATATAAACAAAAATAATAACTAATCCCTTTTAATTGAAATTCATAAATTGAATCCATGATCTTAAATTTAAAAACTATGGGAAAACAATAAATGCCCTTTAAATCCTTGGTGTGGGTTCGCAATCACAACATGAGAATAGAGACACCAGTATGGGCGGTTCACGGCCGCCGAGCTATCACCGAGTGTGTGTGTGTGTGTCGTTGGGTTTTCATACAGACGTGCATCAATCAGATATGATTACTGAAAAGACACTGCCTGAATTTAATTGGAATTTAATAATTATTATCCAAAGATCAGAAAAGCCGTCATTACAGTTATTTGATGTAGATTGAAACACACAAAATATTTTTTTTCTGACAAAATTTGATTAAATTTTCACTCTATAAATTGACAAAGATTACACAAGTTTGTTCTTGAATTTCTTAAAAAGTCACTTTGAAATTCAAAGTTCACTCGCATGACGTGTGAGAAAAATTGCGAGTGGAAAAACACAAACATGTATTATTGGTCTTGTGATCGCTTTAAAATCTGTTTAGGTTACGATAGCATAATAATTCCGTCGAAATATATATGTATTCACTAATTTGTTCGCCAAATGCTGCAAATCCTGCCTCAGTTTCGATATTTGAAGCCTCAGATTCATGCTCCGTTTCGGATCTTGATGGGACGGCAAGCGGCGGGTGCGGTGATGCGACACGTGGCGGCATGTGGCCCGTCGGGTCCACGTGCGAAGCTGGGGGCTTGCTCGCTGTAGTCACTCTCGCTCAGTGCGTATTATACACAGAGTACAGCTGTACTAATCGGATTCGCGCTCTAGCGCCATCTAGCGGTCATTCTTAATATTTACATGATCGTATTCTCCAGTAAATTCTCTTTGTTCTCGTATCAAAATTGAATTAAAAGTATGTTTTTCTGATATAGAAAAATTGTTTCATACTTTTCACTCTGATTTTTCACGATCTTTTTGAAACATACCCCCATCAGTTTTTATATGAAAATAAAGCTTAAGATGTGCTCTTTTCAACCAGTGGATTTTTAAAACTCAAAGACGAATGGCGTTCAAGCGAATTGAGCTAAAACTAGGGATACAAATCGGCCGTCAAAAAAAAATGGCGACAAACGAAGTGAGACCGTACAAATTAGAGGTTAAATCTCAAGCAACTGTGTCGTAAGTAATTAATGGATTTTGATGAAAATGACATGACATGAAAGACAGAATCCTGAGCTTTCGAGAGACATATAATTTTAAAATATTTATTTTTTCCATGATATGAAAATCTTCCTTCACAAAGAGAGAATTTGCGTGGTTGAGCTCTGTGTGTCCCCACTCAACGCAGCTCTTCTGTGATACCTATTAATAGTGGTTTGCGAAGTAATGGTAGTGCATTTGTATCTACTGCATTCGTATCTACTGCATTCGTATGTAATGTTACACTAGAAAAATAAGGATGGCATTGCTACTCCTTCAATACTGCGATATCTGAATGTCAGTGAGTTAACATGTACCCTGTACATTGTATGTATCAGTTATCCATAGAAAATGTATTGATGTGCTTTGCTCTTGGATCTCCTGTAAATGAAGCATTTTCATGCATTTTACATGTACACATAGACTGATCTAGTAACACCTGTCAAAGTTTACTTCTCCGTGTTCATGATTAATTCTTATCCCGCTGATAATCTTGAAATCAGCTGCACAAATGATAGATATTCCACAATATTTCAGTTGATCAAAATGCCACTGGACATGACTAACCTTTACAGTGTCCCCAGGGCATTCCTTGGTACATAAAAAGATCAAATCATCTCGTTTGGTCACGACTTTATTTGCTTTCCATCATATACCGTGTGAGTCAAAAAAAAGTTTACACCTAGAAGATGGCTAATTATTTTAAAAATCATCTATGATCAGTAAATTATTATACATCTTATGAAAGAGTGTTTTATCCCAACTCATTTGGTACCATTTTTGTGTGGGTATGTGTTCACGCTTGGATGAACAGGTGGCATTGTTTGCAAGAGTGCAAAAATCGACTTGCGCCAAAGTGATGCCTTCAGTATGTATTATGTTGGGATTAGCGGAGTGAGAGAATGGATTGAATGTATCAAATGAAATGCATTGCATATGTTTTTTTCAAAGGGCAAAGTCACACACACCCACACACACGCGCACAAATGTTTGTTGGTATTTGATATTCGATATTTTATATGTGTGACATGATTAATTTTGTTAAGGGTGTTATTTGGATATGCAAAGACCGAACTAATACCCAAATCCCAATTGTTTTATTCAAACATCACATACATGTACACTGTAGGCAACTTTGGCGCAATACGACTTTTGCACTCTCGCAAACAATGTCTCCTGTTCATCCAGGCATGAACACATACCACACAAAAATGGTACCAAATGATTTTGGATAAAACACTCTTTCATAAGACATATAACAGTTAATGTTCATCAATGATTTTTTAAATAATTAGCAATTTTCTAGGTGTAAACTTTTTTTGGACTCACTCTGTATATGCAAACCTGTGTCAGCCTTTTGCAGTGTGATATTCTACAGTAAATTACTTTTCCAGAATATTGTGGTTTTTACCAAGGTATTTGCCTTTCTTTTTTACACTAGAGAAGTTCCTTTTTATTGCATACTTTGTGACAGAATAAACTATTTTACAGTGTAGTTTTATTTTTTGCAGAAGAGGTATCCCTCTTCACCTTTCCAAACATAATTTGTAAGGGAATATGTTCTGATAACAAATAATAAAGGCTTATGATAAAGCAAACAAAATTCCTATAACAAAAAAGGGACTTTGATTATATAACAAACGGTGAAGAAATAGCCAGGTAGTGTTTTAAGACCAGAATGGAGGACCCTTAGGGATACATCAGATCGTGCCAAAAGAAAGATGTGTGTTCCTAGGGTTATTTCATCACTGTAATGGGGAAATTCTTGATGCGTGTACACTGTACAGGTATGTTTGAAATAAAGTGCCTCAGACTCGTACAAGTGTCCAGCCTTCCTTCGTGATAGTAGATTTTGATGATGACCTTTTCTCCTGCACCTCTGGCAATCATTCCATTATCCCATGATGCATTCTCACTTGAGGTCTATCGGAGTTGTGACAGCGCATCCCTCATCCCGAATCCAGCTCTACGCCCCAAGTATGTTCATGTTTGCTAACACTCGAGATTAGCCTGTCAATTTCCCTGTACTTGGACAATGCTCATATACTGTAGGTTTTCTCCTCATGCTTAATGCATAGATTGATGTCATGATTGAAGGCAAATTGCAGTAGAAGCTTGTTTTTATGAAGTGTCTTTTAATCATAAACCATCACTCTCAGGAATGTCTTGTTCACACGGGATATAAGAAACTGCAACTTGAAAAAGAAAAAAGTTTAAATGAATGAAAATAAGGATGAAAAGAAAGAAGATAAACAGTGATGGAGCTGAACAAAGGTTGTACACGTACAGTACATGTACTCACACATGTGTGATATAAGATACAGAACTTGATGGGCATTACACTTAAATATAAATTTTAAAAAAAAAGAAAGTGGTTAACGTCTTCATATGTGAACAGCCAACAGGCCCTACGTCTGCAAGTAAACCCACGCATGGACAGTGTTTATGTAGGATTCTTCATAGCATTCAGCGCATGAAGACAGTGGTGTCATATTCATTAGTGAAGGCAAATTTCATTTTAGGATTTGCATTTGGACAGTAGAATTTGACTCTTGAAAGTTCATTTGTGATGCTTGTTTATATCACGAGTGCCTCAGTAAGGGGCAATCATATTAAGGAGGTGTGACTAGATCTCAATGAATGATTAGAAAATACCTGTTTGATATCACCCACGTAAACACAGTGTGCAGCAGCCAGACCATGCCGCTCTTAATTTTACTTGTCTCTACTCTGTTCACATCTTCTACAGATGTCCATTTAAATTTCACAAATGCTAGGGCCTTTTTTTTTACAGAAGTGAACATACATCTCGAGCAATGAAATGCTACTTGATTTTCAACCCATCAGGATGTTTTATTTCAGACATTCAGTTTTTTAATTTTTTAGAAGAGGCCCCTGATCTCATAAATATGCTTATAGCTGATTGTGTATCATCTCGATGGCAATCAAGATTTTTCAATTCTGTTTTATAATAATATTCTAGCAAGTAGCAAGTTGTATTTGAATTGGGTATAAAAGTGGACATTATCTTCATATACTTGCCAAACATGTAAATTTTGTTTTGTAAAATAAATAAAAAAAGAAAAAAAACTTTCATATTGAACGCGAATACAACTTGACAAATCCAATGCAATGGAGTGCATTTTTCCACATTTTTTTTTGCTTAATTAATAAATTATTGCAAATCCATGTCCATTTTCATTCTATGGCTTTGAGTACAATATACATCAACAGTACATCCCAATACATAGTATCTCAACACATACATGCACACACGCATTTTAAACTCAATCTTCCTTTGAACTGTGCATACTACTCAATGTAAGGAGAAATAATCAAATGTGAACGTGGCCTTGCCTGCATGTCCCATTCAATTCGTTCTCACTTGGCTGCCGATCTGTAAAAGCAAATTTGCCCCCTGTAGAGCTGACAGTATTGTGTGCATAATGCGCCATTTCCAGTGTAGTGAGCGCTATATTAAAAAGCTAAGCCCTTCTACAAGCACAAGCAGTTTGGTTCTCATTGCTCAAATATTCATATTGTTATTGATCCCTTAAATTTGATGTCATCTTCATATTTTAGTCAAAGCAATTGAGAACATAATTTTATCTTATAATATTTAAAAATCCTTTTATGTCTCGGTCCGAGCAAACAGTTATTGTACGTTTGTTTTAGTGCACATCATCATTATTTTACCAGATATGTATATGATTAGCCATGAAAGAAAGAAAAGATTCTTCTGAGTGTCTCCCCTGTTGAACCACCTCAAAGACAAAGAGATTATTATCTCTGGATCTACAGTGTATACAAATATTCCTACATAGAAACTGTCTTTATCATAGATAAACAGATTTTTAATCAAATTTATTTAACATCTAGTCCTTAAAAGAAGAAAAATCATTGATTTACTCCCCATGTTAGCTTTGAGATGTTTGGTACCATGATGCACAGAATAACAAAGTTAGATGTAAAATTCAGTGAATTTTAAAAATACAGACATTTCAGAATGGAATATACTTGATTATTCAGTTAGTAAAAACAGAAACAGTCTAACAAAAGTCTGCTCTAATAATTGATATCTTCTGATATGTATCAACATTACTTGCTTGCTTGGTTTATGGAGAGACTCTCCTAGTCAACAGTACACTAATGTTGGTCTCCGCTATGAACACATCCATCCTTGAAACTAGGAACCCTTAGGCAAACTGCGCATAGTAATGTGCAGGTTTTCATCCATTAGTTTTAATAAAGCCATAACTGACGCACATGAAATCTGATGTCCCCAGCTGAGCAGTAAATGAGTGAGATACATGTAGCATCAAATCGGTTTTCAAAAGATGCAAATAAAATGTCCTTTCTCATTTGTGATAGAGAAGGCAGCTGAAATAACCCTCTCTTTTTTGAGGCCTTTAAGATGAATCCTTGATTGATATTTCTCAGACTCAAAGCAAATATTGGGAAACACAGGAGAGCAGAGAAATCATAGTGTTGTACAAGGCAATACCATGCCGTGTGAAGGAGTGTGTGAAGTACATTTTATATTGAAATGCATTTCTATTTCCAAGTTGATGATTTTGATTCTGATACTGGCAATGATGGTGATGATAATGAAGATGATGATGACGATAATGATGTAGATGATGATGATGATGATGATGATGATGATGATGATGATCAATTTGAATCTGTGATGGTTACTGTAATACCTGTACGTGTGACGTTGATGGTCAGTCTGTTATGTGATGAAATTGTATTCATACATGTATTCTTACAGTTTGAACTGATTAAGTTGCCACATGCTGTTCATTTATGTTCCTTTTCTTTCTTTCTTTCTTTCTATCCAGCTGCCCCATACAGATTTGATCCCAGCTGTCAGTACCTGAGTTCTATCACAGTGGAAGTTGACTTCTTGCAAAAGAAAAAGTAAAAAAATTGCTATTTGACCCCCCCCCCCCAAAAAAAAAAAATTGCTTGATTGGCTGAACAATCAGATGCACTTGCATATTTATTAACAGGTACATGTATGACAATTATGCATCGTGTGAACGTGTCTTTTTTTATAGCCACATACAGCTGAGCCATTTAAATACAGCTTTTTAAAATATATGAATTTGATATTGACATGTAAGACTCAAGAAAATGCAAATAATGAAAGTACTAGCGATTAAAACAAAATCAGAATCTACATACATGTATATTAGGGCTGCGACGTGTAGTCGAATGCTCAAGTACCCGCACGGTTGACAACTACTCGGGTACGATTTTTTGTACCCGAATATTCGGCCGCAAAAAAAAAAAAAAAAAAAAAAAAAAAAAAAAATCTGTCCAGGCCGACGCTTACCCGTGCCTGGGTGAGCAGCGGCCGCTGGCATGGTGCCGTCGGTAAAAATGTTTCCCAACTCAAGCACTGTCAAACTCACCACTCAGAAACTGGGACCAAATGTCTGGATTTCTGTTTGGACTTGGAGGAAAATGGATTATTCTGCCATCTTTGGTTTTTAAAACAGCATTGTTTACTGTTATTATTATTAAATCAGCGCCTTCAACTGCAACTCGAAGTAAAATTGCATGCGTTTTCGGCGACAGAACCGGGATACTGCTCCAGTGGTATGTATGGTGGTGGCAAAAAACAAAACAAAAAAAACATGGCGTCCGAATATTCGAGTATTCGCTTGTGAGCCTGGGAGTGTACTCGGGTACCTCATTACACTGTTGTGCACAGCCTTAATGTATATAGAATATAAAGTGGAGAGTGTCTCTATATTTGATACCGTATTTGCCAGCGTAAAGGCCGCAGTATTTTTGGAAGAGAAAATATCAAAAAGTCGGGGTGCGACCTATGCGACAAAAGAGTAAAAAAAAAAAAAAAAAGTCAAAACCAGCACGAATTTGCACATATGGGACTAGATCTACGAACGGTACAATAACTATACATTTCCACACATCTTACCGACAATTTTATCTTGCATTGTTGACATGAAGACGAAAATAAACTTCCAAAAACAACATCTGCCAATAGATCTTGATCTAAGTTCGTGCAAATGCATTGCAAAAGTAAAAGAAGGGCCCGTTTAACGGAGCTGCCGCGAAGCATCCAGCACGCGAAGTCCCTATTTTGAATCCATTTCAATACACAAGAGAGAGGCGCAATGTATACATCACAGAAAACTCCTTATGCTAGCATCAGTGCGGCATGGCCGAGCGGTCTAAGGCGCTGATTTTAGTCACATCAACATTTGAACGCAAGAGATCGAATCCCGACTTCGACAAAAATATTTTTAAATTTATTTATTTATTTTTTCCGAGCGGTCTTAGGCGGTGATTTTAGTCACATCAACATTTGTACGCAAGAGATCAAATCCCGACTTCGACAATTTTTTTTTTTTTTTAATATCAAAATCGGGGGTGCGGCCTATACGGTGCTGTGGCCTTATCGCCGGCAAATACGGTATTTATTTTTGTTGTTGTACAGCACCACAAATGATGCTTTTGACTCGGACAAGATGGCCAAAGATTTCTTAGAGTCATTTGACCGTGTGGCGTTCTCAGTGGAGCAGCAGCTGGTCTGCTCATTCTATAACAAGAAGCTGATGGGACTAGTGGTCAAATCTGTGGAAAGTAAGTATACTGCATGCAGAGAGAGAGAGAGAGAGAGAGAGAGAGAGAGTTTAAGAGAGAAAGAGACTGGAAATCGAACTGAGAGGAGAAAAAAAAAGGGGGGAGGGGTTAGGAGGACAGAAGTAAAGATTGAAATATTAAATAGAAATACAATAGTAATGACATGAAACGTTAAATAGAGATAGAGAGTTGGGGGGGGGGGGGAGGGGGTATGAAGGGAGTAAGCAAAATAGGCAAAGAAGAAGAAAAAACAAAATGAAGAAAATATTGGGGAAGGTGGTATGTATAAAGAGTCTTTAATAGTAATAACGCAAAATCTGTTGAAGAAAAGAAGGTTCATGTTTTAATACCAACAGTTTATATTACATGTAGGTCACAAAAAAACGCTGTAAGGATTATAATTCTTAGTTTTTGTCATAATCACTTGATAAATACATATGGTTACGTACAAAATTTGTGACCTTCAACATTTGTTTGCATTATTATATCATTTCCAACACGTGAACTTGATATCTGACATAGGCTCATATTAGATAGATAAAGAAAATTTGAGCAAATTAGTCTTTTGAATTATATAGCTCCTTAATTCATACCTCCTTCAGCAGAGTTCCAGTCATCCAATTTGTATAATTAATTTACTTGTCTTTTTTACCTCTGCAGTTCTTGATCCAGCAATCCTAAAGGGAGGGAAGCCTTCAGCTAAAAGAAATAGGGTATTTAAAAAGAAATTCTTACAATATTTTCCTTTAGTACTTAAAACAAACACCTGTCAACAAAGAGTTTTTTGGGTTGACCTTACACCTCAATATTTACATTGCATCTCTGCCTGGTAGACATTGTAACATTAGACAAGTCTGTTTGTCAAGTTATCTTGATAGCCGAACAAAATTTGGGTTTAAATGGAGACCCGGAACATACTCCTTAGTAAGGAATGTTCTAAAGAAGAGCCTTTGGGGCTTATGGTGTTGAGGTGTCGTGTTGAGTGGATACGTCACCAGACTGTGGATCACATGGTCCATGGTGAGACTCGAACCGCGGCATTAATGTCCTTTGACAAGACATCAATCTACATTTGCTACACTTGTCCCAGGTGAGGTACTGGTTACCTGGCTGGAATTAATTCCTTGAAATGCCAGAGCGTCATAATGGCAGCCATGCTAAAGCCGGAGTAGTAATTGTGGAGCGCTAGGAGTGTCAAGTCTGACAGACTTGAGCACTATACAAGAACACACTATTATTAATATTATTATAATTACATTTATCATAACAGGGCCCTGTATATCAAAGAGTTCATATCAATCGTAACTTTTACAAGAAATAGGAGACTGCAATCTTGAGATTGATTGGAGGACTTGCTATTGATTTGGATCAATCGCAACTCTTTGTAAGACGGGGCCCAGATCTTCAAAGAAATAGATGGCCAATGTTGAATGACAGTCAACATATCAATACTATTTGTTTTAATTAACGGTGTCACTGACCCTCCATTGGTACATGCTTGAAGTCTCTGACTTATTTGTTTTGTTTGTTTTCTCCTGCAGGACGTAAGGATTGGTGTCCTGACCCAGAACACACAGGTCACATTTGAGAAGGCAGAAGGATCTGCGCTCAACCTCACTGGCAGATCAAAGGGGTAAGCCCTTTCAATATTATAGTTAAAATAGAATGATACATATCGATACTACTTCCAGTCATTATCATCATCAAATGCTAGGGGTGTTTCACAAAGATCCTAAGTTAAACTTGTCTCTAAGTTGGACTTAACAATTATGAAAAGCCTTAGCATCTATGAAATATTTTGCAAAAGTTATTTAAAAAATACATTACAATTTGATTCAAATGATTCATATTTTCTATTATCTAGGAGATTTCATGTTCTTGATATGGAATTTATATAAAGTCTAAAATATTTCAATTTTCACTTTGAATATATTATATTTAAAGGCTACAAATGGCTCTCCATAATTTTTAAGTCCAACTTAGACTTAAGTTTGACTTAGGATCTTTTTAAATGTAATACAAAGTTTGGGTAATATTTTAACAGGATTGGATTTAAAATTTAAAATTTGCATTACCAATGTGAAACCTAGTGTTAGAATATGCATCTTTCACAAAATTGGATTTCGAGGATTTCGAGAAATTAAAATATCAAATTTATCGGTGCTCCTGATAAATTTCAAAAAGTGCCTATGGCCATTAAATGGTAGCTGCAAACATGAAAATATTGAAATATGCAGTTCTGATATATAATTTCCAAACAGAAATAGAAAATCAGTCGATTTTAGTCAATAAACATTGTTTTGAAGCTAAAGTAATATAAATCTTGGGAGGGAGCTATACAACATAAAGAGTTTATTTTTCACAATTTCATCACTTTAGACTCCATTTCAACTGCGACAACGATCATTGAATATAGTCGGATCGCATATGCTTCCAATATGTTCCATTTCAACCAAATTCATGACCCCATACCAAAACATGGTATTAAAGGTATATTTTTTTCTTCTTCTTGCAGTCAATCAGGGAATCAATCAATCATCAACCCTGACTGGGATTTCAAGAAGATGGGCATTGGTGGTTTAGATAAGGTAAGTATGGCTTGAGTGCCTGCATGCCTGCCCATGTCTGAGCAACACCCTGGTCTGCCCATACACTTTACTTTGCAATTCTGATGAAACAAAGCACTCAACCAATACACAAATATCTGTCTCTATTCTAACACTACATATTCATCATAGAAACAAGTAAAAGATTATGAGAAATGTTTAGTTTAAGGACTTTTATTTTTTTATGCACAAGCCTCAAAATGTAAAGGGAGTGAATGTGAAGACATGGGAACCTTTGTTTTGGACACTGCGGCCTTCTCTTGTGAAAATGACATTGTTCTTGTTGGAAGTTCAACAACAATTTCAGCACACTTACTCTCTAGAATATAAAGAATAAGATGAGATCATACATAAGAACCTTCTTGTCAATCTCAAGTGAAATGTGAGGTGTACAGAAATAAGGCTCAACCTCATGCACCGTATAGAAGTAGACACGCAGAGGCACTCACATAGCCATCCGTGTGCACTGCTCGACAAATTTCAGCTACGGGTCGACCTTTACGTTGCAGAGATTGTTATACCAGACCAATAACCAAAATTCATAACAAAATATATTTTCAATATTTTTCCATCACAATGATCTCCACCATCTTCATTCAGTGAATTTTTGTCAGGGTTTTATCATGGATTATATGGAATGAGCACAGAGTGAAGCTTCATCAGAGAGTAGAAGATGGGGACTTTAAAACATTTAAATATATTCTCCCCCTCTTTGCTTCTTCTTCTACATAGGAATTTTCAGATATCTTCAGGAGAGCATTTGCTTCCAGAGTATTTCCACAAGAGTTTGTGGAACAAATAGGTAAGTTCAAACTGCTGATTTCAATCAATTCACTCTGCACTTTTCTTGTCAAAATGTTAATAAGGGAACCATGTGTATAGGCCATATATATCATACATAGTATAGGATATTTAGGATAGGACAGAGTTTATATGACCATAGTTAGATTTCATGGTTTTGCTTCAGAAATACAGTTTTGTGGTCACAAACGTGTTTGTGTAATTTGATATTATAAAATATGGCACATAGTGCTTTAGAAATCACTGAATAATTGTCATTGTACACCCTGTTTGTGTGTTTCCCTTGGCTTGGTGAATTAAAAGCAATCTTAATTTGGTTCACTGCGTTATGGATGGCCAAATGCTTACCCATAAGCTTTGAACATACTCCTGCAATATTGTAGTAAATAAATGATCACAGTTTAATTTGGTCTTGAAATAAGAACATTGAATTGATTTTAAAAAGGCTTTGCAGAATTATGGTGGTTTGTTAAAACGATGAAGAGATTGACATTTTGCACCCACAAATTGGTAGACCTATTTTCTGCAATTTCGGGCAAGGTTGAAACCTTGCTTAAAGTTAGGGCAGCTTTCGAGCATATGGGCCCTTGAATTCCTAAAGATTGACAAGATATTCAAAACACTTTTGTGTTTGATATATGTCATGTCAGAGTTGAGAATTCTCACACTTTTATATATATATATATATTTTGCCAATGCATGTTTCATGAAGTTTATCATTATACTTTTGTTTAATATTTATAGGTGCTCAGCACGTGAAAGGTATATTACTCTTTGGACCACCAGGTGAGGAACTATTTATTTTATTTGACAAATACAAAATGTCCAGATTGGTTGTATTTGTGAATAAAAAGTTTAATTTGTACATATTTGGATGCCAGTTCTAGTAATATTTAGACTAATCAAGACGGTAGGATTTACCAGCACCAAGGCCTAACGATATGGTTCTACAATATACCTCTATGCAAAAAAAAGTAATAATTTTTTAGCAATTATGCGTTTTGTGTTCCGGACATGTCTTCACCCACCTCCAACTTTCCCTAAGATACCAAATACGATTGCAATTTTTGATTTTAATTTCAATTTTCAATTTCAATTTATTCATATTTGTAACAAAACATTACAAATCAATTATAAACATTTACATCCTCAATTACATCAAGATGTTTGAAAGGATATTAATTCTTTGACATTATTTCAGGTACCGGTAAGACTCTGATGGCGAGAACTATTGGTAAGATGTTGAACTCAAGGGAACCTCAGATCATCAACGGACCTGAGATCCTGAACAAGTTTGTAGGAGAGTCGGAGGCCAACATCAGAAAGCTCTTTGCAGCTGCAGAAGATGAACAGAAGAAAGTGAGTTATAATGATAATGATAATAAAAAGGATGCTTATAAAAAGCTATACACCAAAGTCTTTGAGCGCTAAAACAAACAAAATACAATGACAAACAATCACATATTAAACAAACAAAAAAACGCAAAAAGTACCCCCAAAAAACTACAAATTACAATTTATGTGAAAAATACATAAATGTGAACAGAGAAAGTTTATCATCAAAAGCAATTTTAAATAAATGTGTCTTAAGACAAGTTTTGAATCGGTTGACAGTCTGACAGTTTTTGACATGTAAAGGTAGTTTGTTCCAAATCTTCTTGATGTTTTTTTCTCCTTTGTTTTTAACATATATAGATAGGGCGAGAGTCCTTTGGCAAGATATTAATTTCATTACTAAATTAGTAGCCTAGCTAGAGGGGGTGGGGGGGGGGGGCATTATATCCAGTATTATCATCATTATTATTAATACAACCTTTAATAATTTGAGCAGATTTCTCATTGTAGAATGAGACCCAATTCATTTAGATTCTGAGGAAGAATCATCATAGCTACGATCTTTAAAAAAAAAAAAAAAAAAAAATCTTCTTTTTTTTTCAAACTTATTTTATCAGAGTCATGTTAATATCATGAAGTCAAGGGATTTTGCTTGAATTCTGTTCTTGATTTTGTAGATGTTCATTTTATCAGACAGGAAATGTTACAGATGATAAAGTACATGGTTTTTTTTCACTGTCATCTTTTTCTATTCGTTCAATATGATTAATTGAATCATCATATTGTGCTCCTGCTCTGCAACTCTACTCGCCGACTCAAGCCAGCTTCTCTCATCTACTCAACTCTCCAACTCAATCCAGTCTTCTACTCAAACCTCTCATCCTGTCTACAACTTTCTGGTTTACAGTCCTTTTCAGGACTATACTCACTTCCGAAAGATACTCTTCCTTCCAACCTCCACTTTCTCGCCTTTCCATTTCACTTCTATTTCTATCCACTTTCCTTAGTCCTTCTAGGACTTTACACATGGTGTACCGTAAACCTCTTCCGCGATATTGTGTTCAGTTATTAATTCTGAGCAAAAAAAGTACGTTATTATCATATAATTGTTTTATTTTGTATTGCTTCTATAGATGGGGAATAACAGTGGTCTACACATAATCATCTTTGATGAAATTGATGCCATATGTAAGCAGAGAGGATCAATGGTAAGACATATCTATTCTTTCCTATCAGTCTATGTCATTCCCTAGCACATTATAGAATAACCTGTTGCATATTAAATTGTGTTGAGGTGGGAAAATAATAGCTTCCCATCCTAATATGTTTCTTAGCAAACTTACAAGGTGTTTCCAGTGTCTTGTGAAATGTTGTTCTTTCCTTTAAGCACATTCAAAGCCAATTCTGTAGTAATATACTCTGAATATGATGCATAGAAAATTTATGATGTGACATCGATGGTGGATACAAGTTTGTGTAATTATAGTGAATTTGTAAAATCAATAAAACATGATATAAGCTAGACCCCAAGTTGTGAAGGATTGTCATGATTTGCCATTTTTTAAAATCATTTGTGTCTTCATTACATAACAGAATATTTTGTTGGTGATACGCCCGTCTTTTGAGATTTCTGTTAATTTTTTTGGTTTCCTTCTTTTCAGTCTGGAAGCACCGGTGTACATGATACTGTAGTCAACCAACTCCTCTCCAAGATCGATGGTGTAGAACAACTCAATAATGTTCTTCTCATTGGTAAGACTCACTTTCATTGCTCGATGCTATTCACGATAAATGTACAGAGACAGAGAAAAAAGAAAGTGATGATGTAAGGATAGAGTAGATTTGAACACCAGCAATAAAATTATTTCATATTTGTAGTTTTACAGGACCTAAGTAGTACAGTCAAACCTGCTTTAGTGACCACCTGTCTACAAAGACCACATTTTTTGTTTCCCTTGAAAGTGGTTTCTGATTGAAACATATACTAAAGGAACCAGTACGTAAAGACCACCTGCCTATAAAGCCACTTTTTATTTTATCATGATTGTCCCCCTTGGGTGATCTTTATAGACAGGTTTCACTGTACTTATGTATTAGAAACTGAGACTCAAACCAAGATTAGGTTTGTTTAACTTTTCTTTACACATTGTAGAGTTGATTTACTCACGCAAACCTCTGGTTCAAACTACTAGGCCCATTCATATTATATAGTATTTTCAATGCGTTATAAAATTTACTTATTCAGAACACACGTTCAAGCCATTAAATCCACCATTTTGATCTCATTGTTGAAAGCTCAGAAATCTTTTCTCTTGCTTTACAGGTATGACAAACAGGAAAGATCTGATAGATGACGCCTTACTTAGGCCTGGAAGACTGGAGGTGCAAATGGAGATTGGTAAGAGCAGAATTGAATGGGATTCATTTAGTTAACATGATGGTTGCATGATACCTTGTACATGCTTCAGAAATCTAATTTCTAGAGGCTTTACCAGGCCTGATAATTATCCAATTTAAATCTGTTTCCTGATTTTGTATTATTTTTCCCCAAGTTTTGTTTTCCCGATTTCTTTTTCTCCCCAATTTTTTTGTTCCTGTTTTATAAAAAGTTTGTATCATGATTTGTTTTTAAATAGCGCATACTATCACCCCTGCTTTACTCATGAACCACCAAGTGCTCTGGAGACAGTTGCACTTGCTGGTACACTTTTATAGTGACCACCTGTACATAAAGCCCACCTGCCTATAAAGACCACTTTTCTTGTCTCCCTTGGGCGGTCTTTATAAACAGGTTTTGCTGTACTATCAAAGGATGAAGGACAGGAGATCAACAACAAATAACTTTTCTCTCTTGGCTCGGTGATGCCACTGGCATATAAGGCGTATTGGCATCACTCATCATAGCCGGCAAACAATAAAAACATGATGTGATCAGTAATGTCCGGTTCTTACCAGCTACCAGAATGAATGAATAGATGGATGGATTAGTTCTGTACTCGCTAATGATGATTCATTAAATATTCTTCCATTTACCAGGCTTGCCAGACGAGGCAGGGCGGCTCCAAATCATAGAGATCTATCTTGCCAAGATGAAAGAAAATGGCAAGCTGAGTAAAGATGTGGACCCTATGGAGCTTTCTACGCTGACTAAGAATTACAGCGGTGCTGAGATTGCAGGGTTGGTGAGGGCGGCCCAGTCCATGGCTATGAACAGCCTCATTACAGTAAGTAGGATGTGAATTATTGCGCACTACGATGCATATTACTTGTCAAGGAATAGCAAACATTGAGGCTGTGTCCTAAAGCCAATATGTAAAGTACTGTCAAACCTGTCTATAGTGACCGCCCAAGGGAAACATGAAAAGTGGTCTTTAAAGGCAGGTGGCTTTTATGTACAGGTTCCATTAGTACATGTTTCAATGAAAAACTAATGTCAAGGGAAAAAAAAAAGTGGTCTTTATAGACACAGGTGGTCTTTCTATACAGGTAGTTATAATCAGGTTTGACTGTACTATGTATATGCTTATCAAGGAATGGTAAACATTGACGCTGTGTGCTGTAACTCATATGTAAAGCACAGTCAAACCTGTCTATAGTGACCGCCCAAGGGAAACACCTAAAGTGGTCTTTGTAGACAGGTGGTCACTAAAGCAGGTTTGACTGTAGTAGTCAGAAAGCAGTATGACTTAACCTATAAAAGAAAATGTGCAGGACAAATCTCGTTTGCAGGAAACACTTTAAAAAAAAAGGGTTTGATCTGTTTCAAATCAGATTAGGCGGGTCACATTGACTGATCTATCTAGAAAGTGCATCTCTTTACAGGGTCAGTCAGTCATTCAAAAGGTTCAAAAGGTTCAAAATTCATTTAATGCTGACACCAAGAATAACAAGAATAGTGTCATGGAAATTAAAACCAGGACTTGAATTGACATCTCAACCAGTTTTTCTGATTTTTCTGATTTTTTAAAGAAGACGAAGGGTCAAATAAGGCCTATTATGTAAGGATTTGAATTGATGTATTTTAAATTGCATTATATTTTGTAGCTTCAAAATATATTGATTTAAAAGTCCTTCGTAGATATAGATGATCGGCAAGAAGCAAGTGACAATAATATCTTTTTTTGTAGGCATCTTCTAAAGTTGAGGTGGATTATGAGAAGGTCGAGAAGATGCAGGTTTCCAGAGAGCACTTCATGCATGCCATGGATACAGACATCAAACCAGTGAGAAACTTTTTCATATTCATTTGAAGACATGATCAAGCCACTTTAAAGCCCCTCTTAAGTGTTGGGAGCCCCAAAAATTTGATGGCAAATTTTCACGTAAATTGTATCATGTGAAAGAGGATGTCATTTAAGACACATTTCTGCAAGGATTTTCAAAACAAATGTGTTTGAAGTCGAATATGGATGAAAGAATACAAAATTTAGGTTTTCTGCATATAACAGAAAAATTATGTATTCATTTATCAATATTCGTCTTCAAACACATTTTTGTGGGGAAAATCTATGCAGGAGTGCGTCTTAAAGAACATGCTCTTTCACGTTATGATCCAATTTAAGTGAAATTTTGCCATAAAACTTTTGACGAATTTGGGCTCCCAACACTTAAGAGAGGCTTTAAGTTCCCCTTCATACCTCCATAACTGACTCTGCTCTATAATCTTCTGCCAATATTTCATGTCTTAGTGATACTCCTTGTATACATCAAACTATCTTATGAACTCCCTATGGAATAAGGCTACATGTATGTTGGGCTTAGGCTTCATGAAATCCTTCTGGGTTCTATCTTGTAAAGGTGTCCGATTGATCCAGATAGTCCTATAGTCAATCATAGACTTACAATCACTTATTTCGTTATTTACAGAGTTGCGATTTAAATTTCCACTCGTTATTAGGCAGGCCCTGGTGTTCTGTAGTGTTGCTAACTTTATGTACTGTACATTGTTGTCGTGTGATGTGAGAAATTTGAACAAGTTTGAATTGGATTTTAATTCACGTTCTAAGCCTCTCCAGCATCTGTTCCTGTTTGACACCAAATGACAAAGTTGATACTAGCATATGACTTTTATTTTCATTGTACATGTTGGTATAATGCATTGGCATTAGGAGTGCAAAATCATATCTTTGGAAACACTTTTCAATGGAGTGAACATATTCCATATTATCGATATTCACATCATGCAGCCAGAGGATTGGTCTATATTACTTAAAATCAGTAAACATTGCCTGTGCTTACTGGCGTGCGCCTGTAATCCAGCTAACAATTGACGTTACAAACTGATTCAGCCGAGGATGCAGGTTCAAAACTGAGTCATGTCTTTTGGATGGTGACGTTAAAGGTCGGTCCCTTGACGTAAATAATCATATCTAATTGATACACGTCTTTAAAGACCCAATTACACACACACTGTGCTCTTCCAGCATTTATTCCTTACATCCATTCTCTCTGTCATAGGCTTTTGGTGTAAGCAGTGAGAACTTTGACAAGTTCATCTTGAACGGCATCATAGACTGGGGAGAACCGGTTCAGAGGGTGTTGGCGGATGGAGAGTTGGTGGTCAAGCAGACCAAGGCCAGTGACCGGGTACCACTGGCCAGTATGCTCATGGGAGGTAAGATTGACATTATTCAACTTCTATAGTTGCTTTCTTACAGGCATCGTTAAACAATGTTTGAATCTGATAAGCATGGCCCTATGTGTTATCAGTGTCTGTGATATGGTGTAATTTTGAAGCCCTAACAAAAATTGTGCTTCAACATGATCATGAAGTGCCTCAAAACAGTAAAAATCTTTGAGTGATCGGTTTTACCATACTCATATCTCCCAATAGACTGTAGTGTTAATAAAATCGTTGGGGAAAATGATTTTTGAAATTCGATTTCCAATCACAAATATCTTGATAATCAGACAGGTGATCGGCTTGTAAAAGTCATGGGATTCCTGACTGACCTAAAGGTTTATAATTATGATTGCAGCATGAGCTTATTTCCAGGATTTTTTAAAGAATCTGAGGCAAAGATACCGAATCCCTTAAAGACCGTCAATACTACTGGGCCAGAAGGGATTAGACCACACAGCGAGGTCACTGACAGGTGGCTATCTCATTAACTCAGCTCTCAACTAACATAAGAAAAAGAGGATCATGGGGGACCAACAGGCACCGATTGGGGAAGTTTTCTATATAGAGGGAGCAAGTAGCTACAAGTAGGACAGTGGGGCTTTTAAGGGTAAGTCCACCCTGATATTATGTTGGTTTTTAGTAAAAGCTGAAAAATGAGAGAAATAGAATGTTGAGCAAAATCTCAAGATCTCTTTAAACCTCATCATTGAGTTTGTTTTATGTTTGACTTGAATAGGACGAAGCGGTAGTGGAAAGACAGCTTTAGCAGCCAAGCTTGCGTTGGAGTCTGGCTTCCCCTTCATCAAAATCTGCTCAGCTGAAGACATGGTTGGATTTTCAGAATCAGCTAAATGTCAAGCCATTAAGAAAGTAAGTTAGACTTTTTATGACCACAATTCCATTTATTGCTAGCGTCTTCACTATGCATGAAATGTTTAAACTGCTCTTTTACAGTCACTGTTTCCTTGTTTTTTCACCCTTATATATTTTTGTAAAAAAGCATGGTTTATTTTTTCAAAAAAAGATTCCCCACCCCTATTTTCCTGAAAATATCAAATTTGCATTTCATGTGTGCAGTGATAAAAAAAAAAAAAATGTAAGCTGCTGATTGTAATTCAAAAGAAGACATGTTAAAACTGCAAAAATGATGGTGTAAATGAAAACGAAGTGAGTAGATTGAATCATATTTTAAAGAGTATGGACAGCTACCGGTAATTAAAATAAATGATAGAAATAATACAATTTGAGTATGTAATTGAAATTATGTGAAGAACATTTACTAGTTATGTAATGTATGAAAAATGTATTTACTGTGAGCCTGAATAGTATAGCCACTCCATTCCCTCTGTAACATGCATGATAACATTATCAACGTTGATATCTTTCTTAGATCTTTGAAGATGCATACAAGTCTCAGGTCAGCTGTGTGGTGGTCGATGACATCGAGAGACTGCTGGGTAAGTTTACGGCAACTCTAGGGTATGGAGCAGGACTGCTCTGCTATACATTTCTTTCTTTGTTAAGTTGTATGTTAGAATGCTGCGTAGATCTACCGCTGTACCATGTGTCATCCTAGATTTTGTGTACAGGTACAATTAATTGTCTGGTAAACTGGTTCTTGATTTAGTATGTTTGAATGCTGTCTAGATCTACAGCTATACCATGTGTCATCCTAGATTTTGTGTACAGGTACAATTAATTGCCTGGTAAACTGGTTCTTAATTTAGTATGTTTGAATGCTGTCTAGATCTTCAGCTATACCATGTGTCATCCTAGATTTTGTGTACAGGTACAATTAATTATCTGATAAACTGGTTCTTAATTTAGTTTGTTTGAATGCTGTCTAGATCTACAGCTATACCATGTGTCATCCTAGATTTTGTGTACAGGTACAATTAATTGCCTGGTAAACTGGTTCTTAATTTAGTATGTTTGAATGCTGTCTAGATCTACAGCTATAACATGTGTCATCCTAGATTTTGTGTACAGGTGCAAGGAATTGTCTGGTAAACAATAAAAGAAGGCCAGAGTAGCAGGTACATACAAAAGAGAACTTCCTGCCCATCCTCTGTCAGTTAATGGAAAGAGTAATGCTTCTGTAATCCTTGTTAAGACTTGACTATGGTTTGGTCACTTTAATTTCTCTTCTATATAACACGATATACACTGACATTATGTACAAGGCACAAGATGTTTGGTATGACAGAAAAGTTTATCACTTTATTTCCTCAATAATCATCCGTAATTTTCATTCTCCAAAATGATGTGTGATAATTTTCAAGAAAGCAAAATATAATTTTACTCTGTATAAAAAAAAAATTGTTTGATTCTAGGGTTCTTTTTAATCAAGGGTAGTGTATTAAATTTTTGCACTTTATTCCCTTTTCCATCTATTAATTGTAATTGTATTCTTTTTGTCTGTTTTGCAGATTATGTTCCCATTGGTCCTCGCTTCTCAAATTTAGTACTACAAGCTCTCCTTGTACTTCTGAAGAAAGCCCCACCTAAGGTAAAAAATACATTCCAATGCTTGTGTGTATGAGGATTTTTACAGACAGATATAATTATTTACGTCTGGGGACCGACCTTTAACGTCACCATCCGAAAGACATGACTCAATTTCGAACCTGTGTCTTTGGCTGAATCATTTTGTAACTTCCATTGTTAGCTGGATTAAAGGCGCACGCCACAACGCCCCGCTTATTATGTAACTGTTTTTTAACCAAGTGTTACCATGTAGATAAATATAGATGGAAATGGGTATGTCGGGATGATTTTAAGTAACATTTTGAGAAGGAATATCTGAGACCAATAATACAATATTTGTTAGTGTTCATACCTGTATTTCCAATCATAAATATCTTGATAATCAGACAGACTTGTAAAAGTAATGGGTTTCCTGACTGACCTAAAGGTTTATAATTTTGATTGCAGCATGAGCTAAATCCAGGATTTTGTTTCAGAATCTGAGGCAATGTTACTGAGTTACTTTACGACACAACATATGCCAAAGGAATATTTTGATATTGAGACATCTGTATTTGAAACCTTCCTGACCGTACAGGGGCGCAAACTGCTTATCATCGGAACCACCAGCGCCCATGACGTCCTTGAAGAGATGAAGATGACGGATATCTTTAATACCTACGTCAGAGTAAACAGTCTATCAACAAGTGAACACATCGTCAAAGTACTGGAGGTAAGAAGTCCTCTTGCTCATGTCCATCAGGCTTGACACTCCTGGCACTTCAGAATTATTTCCCTGGCTTTAGCATGGCTGCCATTACTGCGCTCTAGCATTTCAAGGCATTAATTCCTGCCATGTACCCATTTTCATCACCTGGGTTGAGTGTGGCTCAATGTCTTGCCAAAGGACATTAGTGCTGCTGTGGGGCTCGAACTGCGGACCTTGTGATAAAAGAGCCTGGTGACATATCCACTCAACCACAACACCTCTATGTTGTCTTTCTTGCAGCTCAATAAATAATCTATCTGTCAAAGAAAAACGTATACAGATATGCAAATTAGTAGCAAAAAACAGATGTATTTTTTTTCTTCCAATTCTGCAAATGTTCTTATACTTGATTGTATAAGAATAGTAAGCTTATAACTTGCATAATGGAAAACGGAATATGTAAAAATGTAACATAATTGAAAGAATCACTGTACAGAAATCTTGTAATCATTTAGAAAACATATAAGGCCCTGTCAAATCAGTTCATAATTTCAATGACATCACGATAGTTTTTTTAATTATTTATTAATTTTTTTTTTTTTTTTTTGGGGGGGGGGGAGGACTACACTATTAGGATATCTATGTGTATGATTGTTTACGGCTTTTCACACACAAGCCTTCAACAGTGGCATTGTCCTGTTCTAATTGATTTCTCTTGCTATTTCAGGAGCTGAAAATCTTTACCCCCGAGGAGAGGGAGCGAATCAGGACCAAGACCCAGGGCAAGTCCCTCCTGATCGGAATCAAGAAGCTCTTGGTCCTGTTGGAGATGGTGAGACAGACAGAGCCGTCTTACAGAGTACCGAAGTTCCTTTCGCTGATGGAGGAGGAAGGGGGGTAAGTAGCAATGATCTTTTGGGAAAATTCATTGTTTATCTGTTGATGCCACAACGTAGGCTAAGTTTGTTGACCTGAAATGACCTTTGACCTTGACTTTGCGACCTGTTTGCTTTTGGTTCACAGAGTATTATACCTCAGTCACACCACCACACTTATTCCGCATTAACACCAAACAAATACGGAAATACTTTCATTGGTTGGGGTGATCGTAACATGTAATTTAGGCTACTACCAACATTAGAATGTAGTAGGCAAGCTTTCGTTCACTCCTGTGGACTTTCGCAAGCCAAAAGATTCGTCATCAAATTTCTTGCTGTCTGCTGCCTTGAGATCACTGAAGCTTAAGATTGGTAGAAGCCTCAATTACAAACTGCCTAAATCTTAAACATTAGGAGTAATGTAACTCTTTGTTATTCTGTCTGTCTTGTCGGTGTGTCTAAGGTATTACTAGGGAATTCTGCCATTCACAACATTATTTAACACTCATTCTAACAACATAACAGTGGTAGTCCCAGTTCTCTGTATTGTAATGTTTCAGGGGCCTTGTAAATGAGGTAATTCCATTAGTCCCAAAGAGTTTGTTATACATAGTTCCATCGGATTTTACTTGACATTACCATGCCTTGAATACCACCAGGGGGTGTTTCACAAAGGCTCTCACCATTTACTGGCATTGGTCTCTCAAGGGACGTACAAATCATGGTCACAAATCTACAGGATTTACATTTTTTGGTAGTTCGTTATAGAAGGAAAAAATAATTATCTAAAGATCATAATTGAGAGACCAATGGTGATAGCAATCAGTGGCATGAAACGCCGGCCATAGTTAAGTCCAAATTACAGTCGATCTTAGTCTTTGTAAGATCCTAAGTTGAACTTGTCTCTAAGTTGGACTTAACAATTATAGAAAGCCGTTAGCATCATTGAAAATATTTTGTTAAACTTATTTCAAAAGGCATAAAATGTTGATTCAAATTATTCTTATTTTCTGTTATCAAGGAGATATTCTGTTCTTGATGTGGAATTTCCATATGATGTGGCCATAGTTAAGTCCAAATTACAGTCGATCTTAGTCTTTGTAAGATCCTAAGTTGAACTTGTCTCTAAGTTGGACTTAACAATTATAGAAAGCCGTTAGCATCATTGAAAATATTTTGTTAAACTTATTTCAAAAGGCATAAAATGTTGATTCAAATTATTCTTATTTTCTATTATCAAGGAGATATTATGTTCTTGATGTGGAATTTATTAAAAGTCTTAAATACTTCAATTTTGCTTTTGAAAAGATTTAATTTCAAGGCTACTCCATAATGTCCAAGTCCAACTTAGAGTTAAGTTCGACTTAGGATATTTGTGAAACACCCCCCAGGAGTAGTAATCAGATTTTAAAAATTTGTCACACATAATCATATGATCTCATGTGATTATGATGAAGAACCCCCAAGAGAAAAGATATTTTATTTGAGTTAAATTTGTCATAGTCAGACAAATTAATGAGGAGTATAGTTAGGGAAAAAAATATATTCCTTATTTTCATGCTCATTGTTCCTTCCTTTTCTCTCTGTTTTCATTTGGTGCTCAGGTTGGAGTTGTCATAAAGAATCATTCCAGTAGAAAATTCTTTCATGTCAACATTTGCAGTCAAGAAAGAAAGAAAGAAAGAAAGACGGACTTCCAGAGAGGGAACAAGCAGGAGGTATGGTGTCTTGGCATATCAAAGGAGACCTCATATGGACAGCAGAAAACCAACATAGGAGTAGAGTATTACCGAGTAGGGCTGCTAGATACATGTAGAATCTGTTTGTTTATTCTTAGAAAAGAGCTGTTTACTTCAAGGTCTAGGAGCAATTTAATGTACAAGAGAATACAAACAAATGTCTATTTATTAGATTTTGAGATACATCACATATCGAGCAACGTGGAAAGGATAAAACTGTATTATTAGTATTTACAAATCTCAAAAATTATTCATAGACTTGGAACATTTTACTGATTAGACAGATTTTGTGATGCGAGCAGGAAGGTGTTACTATTTATCAGTAATTTTATTTCAAATTGTACAAAATGAGGCATACATCACTGATAATTGTCACTTTTAAGCCAGAACGGTTTCATATGTATCAGTCTTTCTTTCATCCATTTCAGTCTTCTTGCACCTGTTACAGGTTATTCCAGTCCATTGTTAGATGACATTGTTTGGAAGTAAAAATGCTTGTGCGAATTAAATCAAATGAGAAAAACATCTTGCCTCTCGTATGCTATTACAGATATAGAAATCAAAATGAAATGATAGAAATTTACCCACTTGTTTGTGTACTTCATAGCAAATTTACTGTGAGTTTGCTTTCATGTTTATGATAGATAAAGAAAGTGATATACATGATGTGTTTTTAACCCAGATTCATATTACGGGTGAGAAAGTTCTATTTGATACCTGAATTGGTCATTTCAATCAAAAACATCTTGCTTATTACATGCAAAACGATCCCCAGCATTGCACCATGCCACATCTACAAGGGGATTTCCCCAAATGACAGTTTTACAAGAGTCCACATTTGTTCTTAGTTCAAATGAAACATAGAATCAGGAAATGCATGTGCTGAAATGAGGTTATTACTCAATGTTTGTAAGAAATGTTCCTTTTCAATGAATGTGTCACTTGAAACATAATATATCTAATTATCTATGGAGTTCGTAATGTACAAATTATATTCAAGCAAATATCAACCTCACTAATATACACATAAACATCTATGCTGTCTATTTATACTTACATTTATACAGTAGTACCGGTATATGGAAGGAAAATATGGGTCTGCAAATGTATGTACAGGTCTATGAATCTAGATTGTTCTTTGTCTGATAACAAATGATGTATACTTAACTTACAATAGGGAATCTAGAAAACATTCCAGAAAGCTATCAGTATAAAGATACGCAGTATGTGATTTGTAAATTAGTATTTGATGTGACAGATAGAGAACTATACAAAACTGAATATTATTATTATTATTAGAGATTCTATGATATTGATAATCATCCACCAAATAGTTACCTTTCTCCATATATTAGAGAAAAAATATATTATAACAAAAATAATAAAATATGTTAGCCTATCCTCTTAAAGATTCCTAAAGTGGAAATATTTTGTGCTGATAGAGGTGTTGTGGTCGAGTGGATGCGTCGCCGGACTCTCGATCACAAGGTCCGCGGTTCGAGTCCCGCCGCCGCACTAATGTCCTTTGGCAAGACATTGATCTACATTTGCCACACTCCACCCAGGTGAAGTAAATGGGTACCTGGTAGGGATTCATTCCTTGAAATGCTAGAGCGCCGTATGGCAGCCGTGCTAAAGCCAGGGTAATAATCGGGAGTGCCAGGAGGGTCAAATATGTCTGACATGAGCGCTATACAAGAACCCACTATTATTATTATTATTATTCTCATAAAATCATTCAAAAGTTTACAAACATACCGGTACTTGCTTCTTTCGTTTTGTTTACTTTGTTTATGTAACAGTCATGCTTGAATGTAATCTATATGTCAGAATGCAAGTGTTAGATTCCTAGAAATATCTAAAGGCTACATAACTTCCTCCCAAAGGGGTTCATTGTGCTTACAGTATGTGTGCATGATTATAGTTGATGAACAAGTTATTAAAGAAAATGAAGACGTATTTGATTTGAAAAACATCATGCATGTGCATGTTATCTTTTCATTGTATAAAGTAGTTATGCTCGGCATTATGTTTATTACCAGGAGTCAAACATTCCAAAAGATTTAATATAGTATACTTAGAGTATGAAATGTTCGTTTTCTATTTTGTCCCTTCTGTGTTGAATCTTATAGACTTTCCTTTGACTACAAGTTAAATACTTTGTAAAAAAGTAATATCAGTTGTTATGTAATGCTATTTGTGATTTGTTTTTTCTGCCCTGTTCATCCCATCTGTATTATTACATTACATTTTTCAAATTCAAATTATGGGCAGTATGTTTAGACTTATATTATGTGGCGAGTGAGCAATCTCTCTATTAAACAGTTTTGACATTGAAAAAAAACATTGATTAGCATTTTAAAGTTTGTGATGGAGTTATATGTTCTTAATTATTTCAATGCGAAAATGCAGCTATTTATTATGATTGCAATGAAGAAATTATCTATGCATTAATGCCATGATTTTCTCTCTTTACCTCATTTTAATCTGTAAAGCAAAAACATGTCTAGGCTATACTGCATTGCATGATAAATTCTTTCTTCAGTACCAAACGGCTACTGGTTTGTGTATGATGATACTCTAATTGAATATAAGTTTGTTAATTCTTTCTTTTTCTGTTGGCTAGGAATATTTTTTGGAGGTAATGGTATTCAAGAATCTCAAGATATAATACTCTTTTAATAAAGCTGTCTTAGTATGTAAGAAACTAAACCATCATGATTGCAGTTTAAAACTTAGTGAACATGGTCCAATATGGAAACATTCTGTAAAATTATGTCAATAGTTTCATGCTGTGAAATGACAGAATAACTATATTGAGTTTTTGTGATTCACAACAGTTTCTTATCAAGACAACATGAGTCACAATGAGCAAAAGCTTCATGTCATGAAAATATATAGTCCCTTATTAAAGTACATGGTAAGTTTGATTTAATCAAAACGTATTTTTGTATTTGGCTTCCAATCTTTCACTCAAAAAGTATTCATGATTGTGCAGATATCAAGCAGCTTAATGCACATTCTGAAATAATACTCACAATTAGATTAATGCAAAATACATTTTTCAGAGATTGCAACATCACCAAATATCCATCTTTTTATTTCCAGAGGCTTTTTCCCAAATCATTCACTTATGTACTTGTACATCTAAATTGTTATTTTAAAAAGGGGAAAGAAGGAAGAAAATTGTTACTTCATGGTGCATAAACAATCAAGACACCAATAATTTCTATCATTGATGTCATGTCTCATATATACTCCATCTGTAGTGTTGCAGTTGAGCTACTTACCACATACCACATACAATTTTCCTTTTCTACCAAGTGCAATATTGCTCAATATGTCTATCGTAGAGAGGAGATTAAATGTGTGTCTGAAACAAATCTCAACCAGCTGAAGTTCCTGTTTGCTTTATTTCACTTCTTTGACTAGCAGCATTTTTTCAAGGTCTTATAGCATTGTTACCAAAGTAAAACATGATTGCATCATCACCTATTACCTTGCAAATCACTTTTTTGAAATAAAAATCATTCATATGCAGACATCAACTTTAAAAAAATGAAAACATATATGTATACCTATATTTACATGGTTCAATTGTATCACTCTGATATGAAATTCTCAAATATTATGTCTGGAAAAAAAAAAAAACATGTCATCCTCACTATAATTCTACATACTCTGACGGCCATTGATGATTGTAACAAAGAAACCACACCCAACGGAAATTAATAACATTGCCTTGAGCAGTCTAATCAAATAATAGTGTTGAATGAAGTATATAGTATTAGCTGTAAACATGTTCATGAAGAAGATGAAGATACAAGATGAATGCCCAAGGGCAAATACAGTAGCATCCTTCAATACCTACATTACAATGGCATATTACATAATCCAAACAGAATTTCTAAGAGTAGTTCAATCATGTATTGAAATTGCCCTCGAGTTGCATTCTTGAAGTCTTTGTGAAAGTGTTTCTTATATTCCACAGCTTCACAACACTGACCTCCACAAGGTGAAGACTACATGTACATGTGCTTTTCAAACACAACTGTTACTACATACTTCACATTTCCAAATTATATATTTGTGAGTCTTCAAGTTGAGAAATGCATGGATGAGAAAAGTGTTTATACAAATTGTATACTATCTTTAAATGGATTTTTAAGAGTACTAGGAAATTAAAGTGTCCCTGAGAGAACTTTAGTGCATTGAATTGTACCAGTACTTCACCGCATTGCATTGTACTTCACCAGCACACAAACAGTTTCAGTCACACATATTTTCATAATTAAAAAAAAACAGCATTAAAAACTCAGTTTAAGTAGTTTTCCAAACCATGTCATATGGGCCATCATAATCATCATCATACCGGTAGTCAGATTTGTTCTCTTATGTGGGGTTACTGACTCTCATGCCATGATGACACTCCCTCCATCCACTAGCTTTTTCTTGTCTTGAGCATCTTTTTCATTTAGACCAACCTTACTGCAGTGATTTGATTTCATCACCATATCTTTCCGTGAAATAAAAATAGATGTGTTGATGCGAAACTTAGTTTAAATCTAGTCTGGTATCACCAGGTATCACAGTTATTTATACCAGAATTACGAATGCTTAGATTAAAGGGGAGAAGTATTATTTGTTCAACATATGATAGAATTTCACATTTTGGTTAAATGAGAAATTGATGATCATAACCTTGTTAGAAAATGATGTCACTACTTAGTTTAATTTTTTTTTAAATATATATATATATATATATATATATATATATATATATTTAATTAATTGAAAGAGAACATTTATATATTTAGTACAATTTTCACAAATATGTGCATTTATTGATATTATGATGACCTTGACATTTGCAGACATCGCAAAATGAAAGACAAGAGATCCCAATTCTATTTTCCCATTATATATTGCAGTTTAAAAAAAAACATTTACTCATCGTTCATGAAAGAGTTGCACAGCGCATTCACACCCAACACCTCCCCGAACACCTCCCACCACTTTTTAGCGGCGCCACCAACGCACGAAAAAATGTTAACAGGTGCGCTACTGTGCAACTGGTACATTGGTATAATCCGCCACCAACTCCGCTATATACGATACACACCAAATGTAGACTTTGAGCAGAAACAAGACATGTAAGCGCGTCTTTCGAAAGAACGAGTACCTGGACGAAATTTGTGTTCAATTTGACGGTTTTCTCCGTACGACATAACTACAGACCATTTGATTGGTAAGTTGTACTCCTTAATTTTCTTTTTGATGTTGTCGTGATGCTAGGATTTATTTACAATATGATATTTAAAAAACATAAATCATCTGACATCGAGATCGAGCTGTATCGCAGCCCCGCGGTGACGCATTTCACTGTTGACTGTTGCCGTAGTATCAAGTCCCACGAATTCAAGTCGGTGTGTTTGATTTTCAATCGTGTAGTAGCACAGGTGGTCGAAATGTGTATACATGAATAAAACGTAAAACTGATTATATGAATTTCAGTTGTAATTTCATTTGGCTTGAAGAGCAACATACATTTTCTTACGTTATGTAAGAACATCTATGACTATTTGCATTTCGTTAGTTGAGTTGATTCTAATTGAAGTTTTTATTCTTTTAATTTTTATTTAATGAAAAATCATGAACAATTTAGTTAAAATATATAGAAAATAGTTCAATTTTATGGCTTTTTCAGTTAGTGTTGGCATGACTTCAGTTTATGTGAAATTTTGTGACTGATTCGTGAAATACAGAATATTTATTAATATGTTGCAAATCGGTCACGATAATAATGGTATCATGTTGTGAGGAATAAATGATTTTAATTGCACTATAATTTTGCAATGGCTGTTACTGTACTTCACATGTATTTAGAAAATGGAAACTGTCAAGGAATATTTTCTTGTCTTGATAACGATGAGTTCGGAGTTCAGTGAGATTCATACATGTATCTTTTTCAAATGATGCCTACAGTTTTATTTGGAGAACTATAGTTTTGGAAAATCATCTCTGCAAAAGATTTGTATCTGTCGGTCTTTAGTTTATGAAATTGAATAATTTTTCAAGTCATGAAAGCAAATTATATACCTACAGTTGTAGGTTAAATAATAATACTGTAATCATAATAATAATAATTAAAGTACAAAATAAACCATAACAATTTAATGATGCAAAGGAGCAGATAAAGTCAGGAAACTTTCGAAAGATGTGGAGATTAACAAATACATAAAAAAATAATGAAAACATTTTGTGTGTGAAACTAAATGGCATGTATTTCCAATGAAGGAAATTCATGTTTGTATTTTATTCACATTCCTGAAGATAATGTCATATCGCTCTCTATTTTTCTTGTGCGCTTCGGAATAGCATTGTCTAGATAGACGGCGCTATACAAATGCCTATTATTATTATTATTATTATGAATAAGTTGAAGAATTGCACGTAGCAAAGACTTCTGAATCCCCTGTGTTTTAAAAAAAAAACACTTTATCTACATCGATTTGTAAATTAAATCTAGATGGTCGGATGGTAATAAGAATAATGATGGCTTCTTCTCCGTGACCCTCCTCGGCCTCTTGGTGCTCCAACATTTTATTACCCCGCCCGGCAATTAAAGCCAAGCAGCCAAATATCTAGTGCTATCTGGCATACATTGGGTGTCCATGTAAATGGAAACCTGGGTGAAGAGTGGCAAATGTGGAATAGTGTCTTGTCAACTAGTGCTGGTCTGGGATTTAAAACCCTCCAAATGCAACCATGTTCAGTATGTGTATACAAATTGTAGGCAGGCATTCCCATTTTTTTTTTCTGTGGGGGGGGGGGGGGGGGGTATTCGTTAATTTTTTAAAAATAATTTCCAATTTTGTTTTAAGTTCATGCATCATTCAAAAAAATAGATTTAAAGGAATGTTTCTTGTTGATCAGAAAATATTTTTGGGGGGTCAATTTGTATGTTTGCTTCATGTACAAGTGGAATAAACTATTATAGTGAACTGAAGTAGAAATAAAAACAGATGAAATATATATTTTAAATGTGCAGTAGACTTACAGAATAAAGCAACCTATTGCTAAAAATGTTTGGTTTGACTTGGAATAAAACTGAACTTAACTAAAAATAGAAATATAAAAAATGAATAGTACAATAGACAATAGTTCTAGTGGGCTTTTCACCATTTCTTTCTCCTTATTCATCACAACATTGTATTCTGTTGCATCATGCACCAGCGGAAACACTTCTGAAGGCCACATTGTCGCACCATGGTGGGAATTTAATTTATATTGAATCGAAGCATTCACTGTATTCACAGTTTGTATCGTCTAGTACCTGTGATTTATTCTTTGAATGGGAATGCTCTCTGAGCAATAGAGTGGAACAATATTGCTTGTAGAAGAGTATATGGGCAGAGAATTGACACGTTGCTCAGGAAATAACGGGAAAGAAAGAGAGATTGATTATCATTATCATGATTATTATCATCATTATTTTCATTATTATCATCATCATCATCATCGTCATCATCATCATCATCATCATCATCATCATCATCATCATCATCATCATCATCATCATCATCATCAGTGGTGGTAGAGTGGTGTTTCATATATTAAATTATTATTATAACCATTGTCATCATCATCAGCATCAGCATCTTTACCATCATATTAACATACCAATTGTAATTATTTTATTATTAGAATAAAAGAAGAAATATGATAGAGGCTAAAGGATAAAAAGGAATTGGAGACAGAGAGAAAGAAAGAAAGAAAGAAGGAAAGAAGGAAAGAAAGAGAGATTCAAGTCTATTTAACAACTTTGCTAAAAGCAAAACACACACACACATAAGGTTGGTCTTTTTTTCAACCTTGATTAAAAAGATGATTTCAATCATTGATATCACCAACTATGACAATAACAAAAGATAACTAAAATTTACATTTTGAAACCAAATACAATTGTACTATGTGGATAGATGATAGAAGCATCTAGAATCCACCAAAATGCAAGCAAGACATGAGCACGTATACAGTGTACTGTGAACTGCTTTATTGACTTTGCCCGAGTCTTCCAAGATCTGGACCCTGTCTTGTAAAGAGTTCCGACTGATCCAAATCAATCGCAAGTCCACTAATCAAATCTCCTATCTCTTATGTACATATTCACTATTGATATCAATTGCAAATAAGTTGTGATCGGTATCAACTTTTTTAAAGACCGGGCCCAGGTCTGACCAAGATTGCAGAAGAAGTCTACATGTATATAGATAATTCTGTTAATGAATTCTAATCTAGGACCCCTAGTTCAGTATAATCTAAAGAATATATATCCGTGTGAGATATGGACTTCTACCATGTAGACCTAGAGTCCACTGAAACACATTCAATACATGCACATGTACCTGCTGTACAGTGTTACTAGCTGTGAATACAGTAGTTGACTTTGCCTGAGCCTACCCAGATTGAAGAAGTAGATAATCTGGTTAATGAATTCTGATCTAGGCCCCACTGGTTCAGTAATCTAAAGAACATAGATCATTGTAAGATATTGTAAGATATCGATTTCTTTCCTAGACCTGCGTTTGCCCACGTACTTCTTCCAATGTTTACTCAGTCAAACATCATGCACCAGCAAACTGTACCCATGTTTGTATAAGAAGAATTACAATGCTGGACTGGTAAATCATATTTGTAAATCAACTGCTAAAGGCATGCTTGCATGAACAGATTGCATATATGTCTCTGTGCCTTTGAACTTCGGATAGTAGAGGCCTTGATTGTTTGTTTTGTTTGTATTTATTTCTGTGTTCAAAAAGATACAAATTCAAACTCAAATTCCAAAAATTAAAACAATAAGAAATACATGAAAACAGTTTTTACAAAAGTTATGTAATAGAAAATCATGTAACGGTACAAATTTACTAGTGGATGCTGGTGTGTTTGTGTGTGTATACGAAGTGCAAGTGTGTATACAATACAAATGAAAATACAATAAGACCCATTTTGGTCACAGTTACAATAATTGCTTGGGAGCAACAGAGCAGAGCCGACCACCCGATTAAAGGGTGTAATTTTGATACACAAAAATAGAGGGGCTGGGAAGAAACATTGTATGCTAGTAATATATTTGACAGTTACAAAAACGTTACATTGGTAGGTTATAATACAGGGCGTACATGTGGCATTAAACGCAACAAGATATTACTAAAATACTAAGTTTCCAAGGTTTAAGAATCTTGCATTATGCATTAGCAGTGGTTTTGTATTTTTTTCATTTTCCCTTTTAAAGTTTTTCTTTCACACCAATACTTTGTTGCAATGTACTAAATATTTTTGTATACATTTATAGCTCTACCATTCAATGATTTTCCTACGGTGAAATATTCAAGTACAAGTGGAAATATCAATCATACTTCTTTTCATTGTTGTTAAGCTTGGCATACACACACTCCCACACACACATACATATATTTGTTTTCACTAGATATAGACAACATGCACTATATATACCTTGGAAATATACCTTGGAAGTAGACATTTAAAGTTAAAAACTTATTTGCCTCTCGTTGACATTCGGATGAAGAATCCATATTTTGACACATGTTTAGTGGCGCTATACAGCAATTGACGAACATGGACAAGCGATATATATATACAAGTGTTTGTTTCAGAAAGAAGACCTCCATGTTTTAGTTTTATGTATACATGCACATACATGTTGCATAAATTCCATCTTACATAAGGCTCAGAGAGTTTCTAAGAATTGGTACAATAAACAAACAAAATAACACAAAACAGGAATGCACTAAAGATGAACAGGTCTTTAATTTGACTGATTTTTTCCTTCTCCTTTACTTATATCAAAAAAATAAAATAAAATCATATTAAAGGGGAAATGAACTTTTCACATTAAGCCATCAATCTTAATTTTTTGAATATCAAATAAATACTATTGCAAGAAGAGATCTGCATGTTTTTTCAGTGGTAATTCAATCTATCTTGGGAGAAGAGAAGAAATATTTGAAATGTGAAAAGGTTACCATGGAGCTACCAATGAAAAGTATGATGTAAGCCGTTTCCATGGCAAAAGACCATTGTGCGGCAGAAGTGTTTGGAATGCTGTGAAATAATCAAATGTAGTCCCACCTTGCTCTCTTTCTATATACGCTCTCTCTCTCTCTCTCTCTCTCTCTCTTTCTCTCTCTCTCTCTATTACATGTAGTATTTGAGTTAAAGCTTCCA